TCTGTTTTAACATAAATATGAAAAAATTGGCTCCTTCATGTAGTTGAGGAAAATTGGCTCCTTCATGTAGTTGAGGATCCCCTGCCACCCCAACCATGTAATGGCCGAAAGCCGGCCCGAAGGACTAGCTTATTCTTAGGCTACTTTGAAACATTCGTTTTGGCTCCCATACACGTTAACATTCACAGAATTAAGATAAGAATCCTTTTTCTCAGTTCCGTAGGGTCTGCACTGATCATGTGCACTTCCAAGGAAGTGAGATGACATTTAGCATTTGAGTAACATTCAGACCTTCCTCTCTGGGTTTTTTCATCGTCGGCTTCCTTTCATTTGACTCAGACTGTTTTATGTCTGGTAAGACTTGGAGGCCTTTCACATTTATTTCTTTACTAAAACTTTTATTTGCCTGGTAAGCAGCGAAAGATTCCAAGGAGAAAACTGAATCAAGCGACATCGAGCGATTCTTCCTGAATTTTACCAATTCTGATTCGCTGACCAAATTTGTCTTTCTCTCTGCATTCTTGAAGCAACCTAAGAGGACACTTTCGTCAGGGTGAACAACGTTCATCGGTGCAGTTACGATGAGCTCCGAAGGCACCGAAGTTGATGACGACGTCAAATTCGGAAGGGAATCGCTCTTAGCAACAAGAGGAAGTAGCCTCACCCGAAACTTGCTCTTATAGCGTTCTGACGCTGCTGGGTAGGCTATGTTTGGAAGAATATCAGTCCTCTCTTTCTCACATTTATTTTCGTATCTTCCGGAGGTGTTACCTTCAACAGGTTCTTTCTTTAAGTTGACCTCTTTTGCCTTTTTTAATTCCAAGCGTTGTTCGCAATTCATGTCTTTGGGACTCCCGATACCTTGGTCGCGTCTCGCGTCTTTTAACACGGTATGAAATACAACAGCATCATCAAAAGAAGGCATTTTTTCTTTGTTTCCTTGGCTCGTCGGAAATGGTTTTCTTGTGTTATACAGCGGCGGTATTCTTTGAGGTTTGTTCTTCCTCGGCCCGCTGTACGGGTTAGTCCTTGTCGAAAATGGTGTTTCGATCACGTCTCGCCCAAATTCCATGTTCCTGGTCGAGAGGCAACTTGTCAAACTCCTGTCCTGTAAGACCGACCAGATTTCTTTCCAAGGGCTCGGGTTGAGACTCCTTGGTGCTTCTTTAGCTGATCCCGATAAATTCATTTCACTTGTATTCTCTTGATCGCGGCGGTCGGATGACACACATACGCGAAGCTCACATAAACTACTCTCGCCCTGAGCGGTGCGTGCGTCGGTTTTACCACCGTCTTTGCTAGTACAAACGTTCTGTCCTTGTGGACCGGACTTCATGCTAACATTTATTTCAGCGACATCTGAATCCTGAACAAAATTGTTATAGCTGAGCGCAGTTCCCTCTACAAGGATTTCAGATTTATTGTTGCTCGGCCCTCTTGGATAGTTCCTTATTAATTCCTTGGATGTCGCTACTTGAGGATCCTTCGTTATAAAATATCCGTCAGATATTCTTCTTTCTGACATTTCTTGGCCTGTTCTCTTGTGTTTTTCTCTCTTTGAGTCAATATTCCGTGACATCAAGCACCTCTGTAGATCATCTTCCATGTCATAGGCACTACTTGAAGCCACGAACACCTTCCTCTTCGAAATCTCTTTTCTTTCCGTCATAAATTTGCCAATCATTGCAACAAAAAAAATCCTACACAACCCCTTCCAAGCGATTGCGAAAATGTCTGTAACTCTATAAACACAGACTGGTTTTGACTAACAATTAACGGTATTTTCCAGAACAAAAAAGAACCACGACAATTGGCCCGACATTAAGACAAGTGGTGAACATGTGATAAAATAATTTCAGACCAGCAGTAGTATTGTTTAAGGGGTGTCGAGAATGCATCCCAAGAGAATGTCATTATTAAAATGCTCTGAACCCATCGAACGCTAATTACGGCTCTAAGAGAATTCTTGGACCGCGAAAAGTACCTTGACAAGAAATTTGACAGGTTTCTAGACTGGAAAAAACAACGGTAGGAGATTTGTAAGACAAGTTTGTATGACAAGAGTGGTTTATTGCGAGCTAATGAGTTTCTGGTCAACGTTATCAATTAGATCAAGCAATCAACCTTCGAAGCTAAAAATAACAAACAAACTTTACAATGGACCGGTGCTAGTCGAAGTAAACAACAAATCAAAATGATAGTTTATCTAAAATATCCATGAGAAATCCACGAGAACTTTTTCCTTATGAAAATGTGGCTCCAGTAAGACGGGTATTTCACTAAATGATTTGTTACCTAGCCAATACGACCTTTTAACTAGGAATCTTATTATGCTCAATCAGCCGTGAAATGAGTTTTAGAAGTAATTAAACGCTCCGCTTAACCCTTTAAAACTGAACATCAGCAAACAGATTCTCCATACCGTTCTCCTACCATACATTAAGGTGCTGACCATGAGAGTTTGTTTACCAATCATGAGCTTATTTCTATCATTTCTTTTTTTCTCGGGGGTGACATTACATTGTAGGAAATTTAATGTAGGAAATTAATGTCTAGTCACTCCTAGGGATCAAACAGTTAATCATACATCCTGAAAGAGCAAAATAGTGGTAAGCTTTACGATATAAATTCTGTAAACCACTCAAAATTAATGGCAATAGATCTTCGTCAAGAAAACCTAGTAATCAGAAAAACAGAAAATAATACATTAAGCCCTTTAGTGTCTCCTAAGCGGATTAGTTAAACATGAAACAGTTGCTGTCAGCCGTGTCATAGTACAAATTCCTCTTGTATTACAAGGACACTTCATTGATTAAAACTTGTCACCCTAATGACCATGGATATATAATCATAACATCTTCATCAAACACCTTTAGACACTTTGATGCAGTGTTCAGCTATCCTGTGTGCAGTTGCCCCCACACCCTCCAAAAAACTGAGGGTTGGAGACTCTAGGGTTAATGACAATTGAAGCCTGTTTCCTTTAAAAACATTTAATCTGTTAATTATAAAATAATTTTCTTGATTCACTTCAATGCCGTTTTTGTGAGCAAGAAAGATTTGTTTGTATATCTATGTCTTTCATCCTCTCATTGATATATCTTGCACCATCTACAGATTGGGGTGTAAGTCTTCAAAGTTACCCAAACATCAGTTCTGCTCACCACACTCAGTGCATTTGACTTAACATTTAACATTTACAATTTAATCGTAAAAATACCCAGAGTTCATGAGAATATTCAAACCAATAAGGTTCTTATAATATTCATATCTAATAATATGTCAGGTATTTTGCAAACCAGTGCACTCTCCATTCTTGGTGTTACTTTCCAGGAAGATTGCAGATTTACTGCAAATGTAAGAAATAAGCTAATTAAAGCTAACAAATGTCTTTCTATACTTAGATCATGAAGGAAAGAGGATTATACTGCAGCAGAAGTAGACTGTCTATCCCTTACTTAACTTTTGGTCTATCAGTCTTCAGTGCCATTGATGCAGAGCTTACAACTGTACAGTGTTTCCTGGACCCATGTCACAAGCAGAGATACATATCTAAGGTGGTAAACAGCTATGATCTATTAGAAATACAGGAAAGGAAAATAATCGTCCAGGTAAAATATCAAGAGAAACATCCTCTGAGAAACCTTATACCTAAACTGAAGGTCACAGAGTACAATTTAAGACACAAATCTAATCACCAGCCAAAATTAAACACAGACAAAGTGAGGAACCCCTATTTTAATCACCTAATTTTTAAATATGACCCAGCTTTGTGACTGGTATTTTGTACATTTTTAAAGATAATTAGCTTTGTAATTATTACATACAATGTAACTTTGTTCTAAATTGGAAGTTTTGTAAAATAGGATAAGTAGTTTTTATCTCATGAATTAATAAAGACTATTATTATTATTATTATTATTAATAACTTAATCAATGTATGTCTCACTAGCTTATCAAACTTCCAACATTTGCAATAAATCCCATAAAAATTCCCCTATTGTAGTAACTGATACTTTCCATCAAAAATAACTTTTGCACTTCAAGAAATAGGTACATGTGCTTTGTAATGATTAATAAAGGGTTTCAAGTCCTTGTATTCTCCTAAACATTCCCATTAAAATTTGCTTAGGGTTTTAGGGTTAGGTGTTTGTATAGTGCTCATCCTTAGCACATAAATAGGCTATACTTAGTTATTTTAAAGTTTCTTTTCCTCAACACTGACCTTTTGAGTAAGATTTTCAAATATGCTCTTAACCCTTTAACTCCCAGAAGTGATTGAGAGGTAACTTCTCCCTATAATATCCACATAGTATCTAGCAAAGAGGTAATGAGAATACTTAAACTTATCGCATAGAAGTTGTTGTTCTTGATCTAACACCAAATTCTCTTGACTAATTTAGAAGCAAATATGTAGCAGCTAGAGGGGAGAATTAACAATCAGATCTTGGCAGTGAAAGGGTTATGAAAAGTTTTAATTCCCTGAAATTCTGATGACTTAGCCTACCTTATGGATGACTTTGGTTGATCCTATTAACATACTCCCAAAAAGTTACCTCTAACACATTATAAAATCATTTTTCTAGTCACTTTACCCATTACATTTCACCTATGTACTCAGTCAAGTGCCGGATAGATAAAAAATGAATGAATTAGCAATGAAGTCTGCATGAAATTGATTGGCTATCACTTGATATCACCTTAATGGTTTAACTACCAGGAGGAAAACTATCAGGGGAGGGATAAGAATCAGCATGTACATATATTGTATATACCAAGTTTAACCAACAAGTTACACCTGCTAAAGCCCAAGGTGAGTGCATTAACACTGCCCCTTCCCAAAAGTAGATTTGGAGATTTTTGAAAAGAGAAAAACGACAGAGAAGTTTTAATTGCTCTTAAGTTAAAAATTTGTACTCAGAGATTATAGAATTTTTGTCGACATATTTTTTTCAATTTTGAATCACAAGTAAAATTTGGTGGATGGGGCATGGTGTAATAGTTGTACACAATGCAGACTTGAGTTTTTCCCTTAATTATGTGGTGTAATTTTAAGTCCACTTTCAATTCCAACAATTAAAGATTAATATGTACACTAAAATTTAGCCATTAAAAAATTCAATAAATAAAAAATTCTTTGTAAAGATAAAACTATCAATAAAAATGTAGATTATCAAATTTTTGATTACATTTGTTTTCAAATGCATATATACAAAATCAGATCATCCCCTGTTGAAATCAAAATATAAAACATTTGAGGATTGTTTTTGCTTTAAAAGAAAAATTTACACCAAAGACTCCTGAGAACCAGCAGCACGTTGGGTTGTGCTTTCCTCCTCTGAATCTTGAAAACTTATCACAATATAATCTCCATCCTCAGCATGGACATTTACTGTATAAAACTCATTTGACCTTTCACCTCTTAACAGAGGTTCTTTCTCACTATCACTAGAACGGTGTTCATTTCCCAAATAGAACACATAATGTTGCCAAATGAGGATGATGTTGAATAAGAGAGTGGAGACAGCAAGTGCCATCTTAGGAATGTTCCCTGTTAGCTGATTGTTGCTGTGTTCAATGAAGCAGTAAAGATCCATCTGTAACAGACTGAGTACTCCTCCACCAAAATCCAGCAGCACTCCACCAATATGGAACCCCTCTGTGGATTTGCGTTTGAAGTTGAGCCACACTTGAGGTGAATACTACAATAGACATGCACAAAAAAAATTCACAAATTGATTAATTCCAATTCCAGCAAAGTTCTTAATTATTATAGGGATTAAAATGCTTTACAGGAAAATTCCCGTTCTTTGCAAGATCAAATTAACAAATTTTAGCCACGCCTCAAGAGAAAAGTCACATAAATCAAGCCACCATGGAAAGATAAATAAATAAAAATAGTGCGACCCTGCACAGATGAGGGGTTCATTTTTATACAGGCCGTATTACAATTAAATAACCAATGGTTTTGATACCAAATGAAAAAAATTGTTGCTTTCCGTCCAGTCCAGTACTCATTATCATGACGTGCAAGGCTGAACTCATAAGAAGAAGGAAAATCAAACCAACACAGCACAGAACAAAACAAAGCAACTAAAATAAAGGAGTGAATGAGTAATTCAGCCAACCTCTAACAGTCTGATCCACGTGAATCAAAATCAGTAATAATGGCTCGAAGTGTATTCCACGACCTCCCCTTCCTGCTAGGCCACTTGTTCAAACACAACATGCATCACTGATTACGCAAGCATGAGATGTCGAGCCAAACCACATGGCGTCATTTGAAACAATAATAATGCCTAAGTCGTAAATATTATTTCTGAAATTTAGATGAACCACGTGTATTTTTCAATGTAACACCATTTACTAAACGCCGATCTGGACCTATTACGAAAAATGCAGCATGGTTCAAGCATGGACGTGTAGTTAGTCCTTAACAATCTAATAAGCTGATAATTTAAAAATTAGTTTAAATGAGATACGATGGATTCGTTTTTGGTACTCAATTTATTTGTACTCACCGTCCCAAATGAAACGATAAACTTAACATATCCACAATACTGAAGGACCACAAACCACGAGCCGAGGATGCCAAAAAGGCTGAGAACAGTTAGTACAACGAGGGCCAGTAAGCAACCAGCACAAATGGCAATTGTGCTACGATGAATTTCCTGCGATCCCCGATCGTACATCAAGCACTGTATGCCCTGAGTAGTAGTACAGGCAAACGCTACGATAGAGAATACCACGTCTGTCAGCTTGACCGGGTTATCCTGATCTAAATTAGACATGACCGCCTTCGGGTCGAAATAGACCGTCACATTGTAAATCATGTAGGTAATATAACTGAGAAAGAAGTAAGCCCACATGTCGAAAGAAAAGCCAACCACACATTTTCGCCTCCAGTTTTCATAAATTTGTGGGAAAAACGATACCGTCCAAGACAAAAAATAACCCCAACCAACTATATCGGCCACGGTAATGAGCGCTGCTGTATTCGTCATGCTTTGGCGAGTTGCGGCAGTTAAAAGCAAATGGAGAATTCTGCAGTCCTTCAGGATGGTTGTGACGCAAAACTTTTTCACCAATCACTTAAAAATTCGATCGGTGTTTGTTTTAACCTGTAATTGTGACCTTCCTTTTGTGTGTCACTCTTTGTTTACGGCTGCGACGAGCCATTTATAGGAGTCTATGTCACGCAACGTATGAAGTGCTGCGTTGTGAGATGCGCGGCCTCGATCGGAAGAATGACGTGAAGCTTGCAAAGACCACACTCTTCGAGCTGGTTATACTGCTAAGGGGATTCATAAAATTCATGAAACAGAATCAAATTAAATGAAACAAAAAGTACTTCAAAATTTGCCTCAGCTTTCACCCTTCCTCTCTATATTTAAAATAATACTGATTAATGATATTATTTAATAATATCAATTAATTATTAGAACTTCAGCTGCAAAATTATCACTTTATTTTGCTTATATCACCAGGGCTTATATGATTAAAAAATTACACAGATAAGATAGAAAAAGTGCAAGTGATTTCCTTATGATATACTGTAAGTTATTATGATTCGCTATTACAGTATTTGCAGACTTGCTGAATCTGGTTGTCCTCTTAAACTTAACTACAGAAACTCAACTGTTGACTTGACACTCATCTCACCTTTTACTAAGTTTGGCTTGCCATAAATAATTATAACTGCAATATCACTAGCAACACAGAAAGTGCTGCAAATTATTGATGTGATCTTCAGAAGATGAGAATTTTTTTTTTAACTAGAATACCAATTCTATCCTGGGAACCAATCACTGGGCATAATTCCCAGTACTCGGTCATCTCATATATGAAAGCCCTATTTTGAAAGTAAAGGCTTAATCTACCATAGAGGCTCTCAAGTGCATGCTTGGACCCAAATTTTTCTCAAAAAGGTGTCAAGAACTAGCTGAAAAGTATGTGAAAACACTGCCTTATAAGGTTAAGATTTTTCGCAAACGTTTCACATACTTTTCAATTACTTTTGTAACACCTTGCAAAAAGAAAAAATGGTGTTGATCATTTTCAACCTTCCAGTAAAACGATAAATCAAGTTGGGGAATGTGTGTATGTTTTCAATTTTAACACCTCAATTGCAATAAACCTATCACATAATTTCAAAAGAGCAGTTTCATTTATAAACCATATTTAAATAGTCACATTTAAAGTTCTGATGAAAAATTGGCCTTTTCCATGAGTGTGTATAATATTTCTCCAAGTGTATGCATTTTGTCCAATTACATAATGTCAAAGACTAATTCAGTCCCTTTCCCTTTAAAAATATCCATTGTATTCTCTAACACTGTTAAGCCTAAATGTACTATTCCTCATGCCATAGGTATTTCATGTTGAGCAGCATATCTAAACAAAGTAAGAGAAATAAAATGTTACTATAAGGAGTAATACTGGTACCTATTTTTAAATTAAAAGCCTCTACCCAAAAATTTTTTTAGAGATCAACACAAGTTATTTGATTGCAAATACATGTACACTGCAGCTGTGGAATAAACAGTAAACAGTAAAATCAAACATTTTAAACAAAAACCAATGAAAATGAGCTATGACTTAAATTACCATTTCATTCTCGAAAGAGTTTAAAAGGATGGAAGAAAATCATTGGCATTTAAAGCCCTCCAGTGGACACATTGTAAACAAACAGAATTGCAAAGAGCCCATGAAATTTGATTACAATCTGACTAATACTCTACATCTGGTGAGAAAAATACATGAAAGTGAAAACAGATATGTACAATTTGCTATTACATGTTTATGACTTGCATCAAAATTCATTATGATTGTTGCTTTACTTGATAAGAAATAATATATTTTTACCTTCAACTAAAATGCTACTGGTCCAAGTAACAATAAATCCTATATCATTTTATTAATAATATATGACAACATATTAAACATGCCATTTCCCCTTCTCCTGCATTAAATTAGTAGTCTGCCCTGTTAATTTCAAATTAAAGTACAAAATTACAAACTGTAACAAACCTTCCAGTTACAAAGTGGAAAAGTTGCCTTTCTATGTCTCCCAGCAGTGAACTGGCACCAATCCTAAACAGATCAGGATGTGTCCAATCATCCCCAAGTTCTTCTTTCATCAAAGAGAGCCATGTTAGGGCATCTTTAGCACTGCGGATTCCACCGGCTGGCTTAAAGCCTACCTTGTGACCTGTTTGCTATGTTGAAAAAAAGAAATTAAAAGGGCATAGACTGCAATGCCCTTGAACAGTAACAAATAATTTATCATACAATATATTAAAAATGTTACACCCTTGTTGAAAATTTTGGGAGGTCCTCAGGGCAAAATTCAAATTGTTCACTTTTAATCCAAAAGTGTTGGTTTCTTCTATTTACATGTAAATAAAATCTAGAGTGACATCAATTATACCAGCCCTTCACTTCCCAGAGCTCATTCTTATAAAACTGGTCCTCATCATTTAAAATATATACATGTACAGCATTATATCCAACAAATAGTTGAAGAGCAAAAACAAAATTACCACAGAGGAATGGGGCAGCAAGATTTACTTAATAGGTTTTAGATCAAAGCGGGATGTTTCCATAATCAACTGTAACATCATGCAAAAACGAAAAGACTTGACAACAAACTTTACCACTCAAGGGTTTATTCTGACTAACTTCTCAATAGAGTCACACAGTAAATCACAGAGCAGTCTATCAATCACCTCCAACAATGTGATTATAACATTGGCTCTAAATTTTAAAATAGCTGTCTTGCTTTTTTCAAATTACAGAGGAAGTAATAACATGATCAAAGAAAATTCAACAGCAAAGTGCCAAAAATATGTTACTCAGTGTGGCGAGACACTTTTCAAAAGTAAGATATGAAGTTTTTGCTGATTTAAGTATGGAAACTGGTTGCCTATCTCAATACCAGTAATCAAAATAATACTTGCGACAAAATATTCCATGCACTGCTTTCTTCATTTACGGAATGGTTGTAACAACAAAAATTTTACTATAGAACTTGAAAGAATCAGGGCAATTACAGAACAGCCCCAGACTCAGTGAATATTGTAGAATAATCCCCTTGACTTTGTCTCAGATATTACCAGTATTCAACAATATTCAAGTCTCCTTTGGCAAATGACTGTTTTAAAAACACAATAGTCACAGAATATCAGCGCGCACATGCAAAGATGTCAACAAATTATCACATCACAACAGTTACTACCCACACCTTGAAGGCTCCTTAGCTATTTTAAGGGTCAAATGGAGGTAAATTCTTAAAACCCAGTAGCCCATGACTTTTATTGCTTGATCTCAGCAGACTGGTAAGACTGTTATTCCTTAGTGGAATGCTCATCCACCGCAAGTTACCCCAAGCATTTTTATCAAGTTTCTTTCACAGTTTCCCAGACTAGCCACAAATAATGCACCTCTAGATGCAAAGAGATACTTAAAAAAACAAGTATTCAAGCTAAGAACAGAACCCAATGATCAAGTCAGAGCTAAAACCAGCTCCTTAATCAAGAGTCTAACAAGCTAGTCACTGGACACTGTCTTCTCATGCTTGTTTTGAGAGACATTGAATTGAACATTTCTGTGTACTTTTGGCTCTCAAGTGCCAAAAACATTTGGGCATGCAAGGACATATCAAATATAAACAAACATATATAGCATACCTGATAGTAATCCCTGACTGCCCGCACCATAACCAGTGCGACAGGAAATGTAGCATTAACTGACTCTTTACCAGTTGATGTTTTAATGAAGTCAGAACCAGCCATCATGCTAACCAGACTAGCTTTATAAACATTTGTTAGAGAGCCAAGTTCACCTAAGAAAAGAGATATATCATTACTGAATGCTTACCATAAGCATACAGTATATAAACAGAGGTCCCAAGAGATCAAAAATGGCCCATAATCTAGAAGCTTTTACAGACATGAAGCAACTACATGTAGGAGTGTTGCTACCCATTATAACCTGCTCCAGGCCCTCAGTTGGTAGAAGCAAGCAAGAAAGCAGGCAAACAACAAACTGACCCACAACCTGGCAGCTTTCATGGGCATGAAGCAACTTAGAGTGTTGCTACCCATCATAACCTGACCAAGGCCTCAGTTGGTCAAAGCAAACAAAAGGACAGGCAAACAATAAACTGGCTCACAATCTGGGAGCTTTCACAGGCATGAAGCTACTAAGTGTTAATACCCATTATAACCTGCTCCAGACCTTCATTTGGTGGTGTCAAGTGAGAGACCAAGCAAATGAGAAACTGGCTCACAATCTGGGAACTTTCATAGGCATGAAGCAACTAAGAGTGTTGCTACCCATCATAACCTGCCCCAGGCCCCACTCAGTCGGTAGGAGCAAGTTAAAGAGCAGGCTGTTGAAATGACAAATGGTGGTTATGGTTGCTAGCATAAAATATTTTACAGCTGTTTCAGGAAAGGTTGTTGGAAAAAGGACAAAAGTGTATGCAAAAATCTCAAATAAAAAAATGGGTTTCCAAATAATCAACAAATTTCAATAAGTCAAATAAATAAATTTACCAAACCCATGATGCCTCATCCTTTTAATGATGTTTTTAACAGTTAAAGACTTTTAAACAACCCACAATTCCTTTAGGCACTGTCTCATGTACTTAACACTTATTTTTCTGACAACCTTTCTGGAAACAGCTGTATACAATGTACATTCACCACAAATATGATCAGTGTCATTAATGATAGACATGGCTATCAAATTATCCCTAATTGTACCTGTGGCAATGATTGTCTTAAGATGGGCTTCTTCACAAGCTTTGCGCATTGCCTGTACTTCATTGTAAAGTGCTTCCCAGTTACCCTCCAGAACAAATGCTCTGCTGATCACAATGTCAATCTCTGTGGCACCTGAAGCTACTGCAGTTTCTATCTCTTCTAGTCTTTGCTTGAGGGGTGTCTGACCTGAAAACAAAAACATTTTATCTATCTTAAACCATTTGACTGCTGAAAGTGACAAACATTTAATTTTTCCTTACAATATCACCCCTGAATCACAGATTAAGGTAACAAGAACTAAAGGAAGGATCAACAACTAAGGAAGCTCTTATGAGATAATTCTGGTTTTATCATCTGAATTGATTATGTAAACTGGCTAACTTACATCATCAAATCAGTTACCAAAATAAAACCAAAATTAATAAAGGGGTAAGTTTCTAAAGAAACTGTGGTGCTGCATTGGTGGGAGAGTATAGCAGGTAATTTAGTATTAACAACTGAGTTGAAAACATAAACTAGCCACTGTAAAGGGTAAAAAAGCTGACGTTTCAAGCGTTAGCCCTTCATCAATCGCTCTGACAAAGGGCTAACATTCGAAACATCAGCTTTTTTACCCTTTACGGTGGCTAGTTTACGTTTTCAACTCAGTTGTTAATACTAAATTACCTGCTAAAACCAAAATTATCCTGTAACACTTCCCTACTGAGGCAGCACCAAAGTTTCTTTAGAAACTTACCCTATTTATTCATTTACCTTTGTCAGAACCTTAGGAAATGTATAGAGAATAATGTGAAGAATACACACAGTGATGTTTAGGTGTAAAGGATTAAACAAAAACAAAACTAGTAAGACAAGACTAAGCACAATTGTGAAATACTCATTTAGGGAAATAACGAATGCACATTGTACTATTAATTCTGAAAAGGTCTTGAGCATGTTTATATTGGAATACCAAATTTCACCCACAGGCTTCACTTCCATGGGGTGGACTAGTAAATTTTAATGAGTCAATATTCACCAAATACTGAAATAATAGCAATACCCACATTAAAACAACAAGAAAGAGGCAAAGATTCAAGAAAAATGTCAGAGCAAACAAGGCTTGGAAGTAAATTTTCTGCAAGTAAATGTCATCTGGTATAAGAGCTATTGAAAATACTATTAACAGCTAGAATTGCCATCTCTCTCCTCAACAATTGCCACTTGGGTTTGTTGTGCAATAAGATTGGGGGGGGGGGGGGGGGGTGTGGCATTACAATCCAAAATTATGGTTGTAATCAAGACCATGAAAAGCCTTTCTTCTTCAAAAGCTCATTGAAAGTGATTCTTTCTCTATCTCTGAGCTGTACTGTACAATCCCAAATATCACAAATATCACTCCACATCTCTTCTCCTATGTCCCACTTGAGTTTGGGAGAAAACAGGAGAAGACATGAAAACAAAAAAAGCTGATTGGAAATATTACAAAATATTAAGGTTATAACAGAAAAATTTGGATAATAATTTGGATAATAATATCTAAATGCTGGATCTTTCAATGATAAGCAAAGGCTCCAACCAGAAACAAAAGTTTCAACTTAGTCACTCTTCAACAAACACTGTAGACGCAATTTTTTAAAAGGTGGAGGGGGGAGGGGGAAGGGGGAACGGGTTATACTTGGATGAAAAGCACATTTAATTCATAGGAGTATTTTCATTAACTTTATAAATTCATGGTCAACGTCGAGGTGTAAACCAATTTCTTAATTTTAAGAAGCAGTTTCGATAATTTCATTTTGTTGATCACCTGCTGGGAATCCTGCAGCCACTGAAGCAATTGGAACCTTGGAGTTAAGATTCTCGAGAGTCTTTACGGCGTCTGGGACACGAGACGGGTACACACAAATAGCACCTGTAGTTATTCCCTTGTCCGCCATACCCATGCTTTCCAGTAAGTCTTTCCTTACAGGATTTTGCGCTTTGAAGCAGAGTCGGGACACATTCGTCGCGGTGTCATCCCCAGACAGGGTGGTAAGGTCGATACAAGTCACTGCTCTCAAAAGCCATGCCGCTTGCCATTGCTTCTTTACTGACCGGCGAGTCTTGAGCGTATCAGCCCGTCGTTTTACAGCAGGAAGGTTAACTCTTGTCCTACCTACCCACTCTAAATCTAGCGGAATGCCTGGATTACGCACCAAGTGTGAAGACATGTTAGACAACGTGACGGGCAGTTAGAGTACACGAAAGAGAGGAAGCTGGGTAAGAGGACTCTACAGACTGGGGAAAAGCTAAAATTCGCTTGATCATGGCCTATATTGAATTTTTTCAGAAAATTAAGGAAAATTACAGCTCTGCAAAACTTAGAATACAGCACCATTAGACCCTTTTCTATCAGTAAAAGAAGCTGCCATGGAATACTAGTTAAGAAAAACCAACGCCAAAACCAAATGATTTGATTCCCAAATGATCATGAGCCCACATTTCAGTTACTAGCGGTTGCCACTCATTATAACATTACAAAATATGGCGGTTTTTGCCGTGGTGAGCAGTTTGCAAAATCATTGCCTCAGAGCAGTCGCCGGCCAGTTACCAAATCATGAAACCTCGTTAGCCCAGCTTCCTGTCGAGATTAAGACAAAGCTGGTTAATCTGCTATCAAAACGAGGTCTTTTAACGGACGCAAATCTTGGAAATGTAAGTCACACATTGTCCTTGGATCTAGAAGAAGAAAACGGGGACTGGGATTTTGCCCAGACTCTTGCTGAGAAAGTGGGATTTGAGGATTGAAAATGTAGTAGATGAAATGGAGGCAGATTTTATTTTCTTTTATCGCCGTTTTAATTTATAATTACTTATTTGCAATCAGCACGACTGGACTGATACCTTTGCAGGTTGTTTAAGGTTCTGATTCATTTGAAATTACCTACAAGTTAAGATGGTTAGGGAAGGTACATTTTTTCTTGGGGGGGAAGGGCTGGGGCCTCAGAGGGGAGGGTCATCAGTGAAAGTGGGCACCAAAGGGGGAGGGCCATACCCTCTTTTTCAGCTATTCAAGGGGAGGGTCACAGAATTTTTCATGGGGATTTTTGTGATGTTATTTTCCATTTTTCTTTAACTAAGTTTTTTCTTTTCAACTTGTTTCTTTTAATTCGGTGCAGGTACTAGTTTTACAAGGTTACTGGGTGTCTACATGTATATTATTCCATGGCACATAATTTTCTAGGATTACTCATGTCCTTTTCCATCCGTATCATGACGTACTTGACTCGGGTATGGTTTCGAATTTATACTTCTATATTCAAACTTCATCTATATGAAAAAAAGTAAAGCCCGGATCCCACACTGATGGTTCGCATTTTCTTGTTTCAGCGCGCACATATTCAATATTTAGATTTATTCATATTCAAACATTTTGCGTTTACAAGCAAAATGTCAAAAAATGTTCTGAGCTTTCTATGGCATGGAGCATACCATGTGGTAGTGAGGGGAGGGTCACACTTTTGTCAGTCACCTAAAAGTGGGGGGGTCAGGAGTTTTTTAATCAAAACATGAGGGAGGGCCAACACTTTCTTTTGGAAAAAATACCAAAATTCCCCAGCCCTCCCTCCCCCCAAGAAAAAACGTACCTTCCCTTATAAGCTGTCTATTTGGTAGATTCATTGCCATTAAAATATGATGGCACTGATCCTCTCCTTAACCCTTTAACTCCCGTGAGTGACCAAGACAGAATTTCTCCTTGCTATATCTATACAATATCATGCAGACAAGTGATGAGAGTAAAGAAAAATACCACTTTATATGCCACTCAGTACAGGTTTGACTGTAGTGTTTTTGATGTAATTAGTATTTGATTGTCATTCTTATTTAAGGTATTACACCCAACACTTAGGGAGCTGGAGTTGTGTGAATGTGCAATTTCAGACAGAGGACTTTCTTTCATCTGTGTTTGTAAAAACCTAAGAAAATTAGACTTAAATGCCACCAAGAATTCCAGAGCAGATGTTACATCTGAAGGTATGTTGCACCAGACTTTGGTTCCTTCACACAGGGTCTTTTTTATAATTTTTATCAATTTAAAATGCAGGCCCTTTGGAACATGTGATAAAATGATATTTATTCCATGAAGGATAACTACTATGCACCAAATTTTACATTTTTCAGGGTATTGCAGTATGTAATTTTTATATTTTCTGATATTACTTTTCAACAGGTATGAGCAGAGTGTTTTTATCTTGTTGTTGCCTTCAGACTGTGTACCTCCGCAGATGTGTTAATCTTACAGATGATGCTATTGCTGCTTTGACACAAAACTGTTTGCAGTTGGAACATCTCAATTTATGTGGATGCAATAAAATAACAGATACATCTCTCCAGCTCATAGCCCACAACTGTAAATTCCTTCAAAGTCTTAATCTCTCAAATACTAAGGTTAGCAAACAAGTTTATATTTCCTCAGATGTGATCTCTTATACTAAGTTAAGTATAGTGAGTGCATAAATGTAAAATTACCTGGTAAATAAGAAATAGAACTGGGTATAGGATCAATGTATTAGAATATTTCAAAAATTTTTCTCCTTCTTTATGGCAATGTTGCTGTTTTAACTAGAGCATCAAAATCACTTTGTAGTAATTGGAAGCTTTGATATATCATCCAAAAAAAAACATCTATCTTACCTTTCCTTTGATTACTGTGTGTACTGTTTCCAGGTTTTTAAGGCTAAATTTTTATAACTGTGCATTTTTACCACCTTTTGAAACTAGATTTCCTCAATTTCAACCATTAGAAAAAGTCTTAGATCTCAAAAATGATTGCATCTTGACCTGCCATGTATAAAAATTTTGAAAACAGCCCTGAATTGTTTCAAAATGTTGCCTATACAAAAGCAGTTTTCTTTTGTGCACTTTCAGGTTACTGATAATGGTATACTGTGCTTGACAAGTGGAAAATGTCAACATTCTATCAAAGTAAGCATAGATCTAAGAGGGCCACTAATCTATCATCAACCACAAGATCACAAAAAAGTTTTATATGCAAAGAAATATCTCTTTGACCAACTTCTACTATTGTGTGTGGCATTGAGAGTCTTCCATCCTGAGGATTAACATCCCATTTGTTTGGTCTTTCAGTGTGTTCCTTTAGTTTGATCACTTTGAAATAAAGAGCAGAGTATCTTTTACTCTTGAAAACAGTTTCAAAGTTTATAGAATGTCTCAAAGAAAGTGAGCAAGAGGAGATTTAAAAGATTTTGTTTTACACTAGGTCAATGGGTCAAAGTTTCAATTACATCACCCTTGCTTGTGCCTGATACATCCTTCCTTACCCTCTCTTATAAACAAAACTCTCAAACTAAAATTAAAGTAGCTAAGTCAGAATATTATGGCCCTGCAATATAAAATGAAGAATTTATGTTGTTGACAACTGTGCAAAGAAGAGCGCACAGGACTGTACACTTAAATTCCAAAGAGTAATTTTTCATTAACCCTTTAACTCCTGTGAGTGACCAAGACAGAATTTCTCCTTACAATATCAATACAATGTCAAGCAGACAAGTGACAAGAATAAAGAAAAATACAAGTTAGGGGATTATAAGTTGATCCAATACCAATTTCTCCAACTAACATCACAAGAACTGTATGGCAGACAGTTAGGAGAATTACTAAAGAGATCTTGGGAATTAAAGGGTTAAGTGCCCAAAATTATTCTGGATTGCATTGGGTTTGCTTCATTGCACTCGGTGATTGTCAAAGGGAACTAACCAATCAGATGCAACCTGGTAGCACCTGTTTCTCTTCGCTTTAGAAAATTTACATTTTTCACTTCAATTTTCATTGACTACTTTTGACATCTTATCGGTCATTTTGACTACTTTGGATTTGTTCTTTAAATACTTAATCAAAGCCGGATTATTTCTCAGCGAAAGAGTTCGTATGTCAAACCAGATCCAGATAAAAATGCCCCTATAATTTAGGTCAAGATCATTTCTCTATCTCTTCAGAACCAAGGTCAGAATTCAACCATGAACTTACCATAAGATAATGAAATATGCCGAGAAATTTAAGCTTGAAATTTAGGGATTTTTTTATGATTTTTTAATATCACAGGAAGTCCAATTGTCGCATTGCGTGAACATCTCAGATGACAGCATTGAGGCGTTACTCACTTGCTGTCCAAGAATAAACATTCTTATCTTTGATGGCTGCCCTAATGTCACTGACCGATCCCGTCAAGCTCTTGAGGAGGTTATGCTCCGCGGCGGCAAAATGAAACAGTTATCATGGACGGTATATTAACTGTAGTAGCTGAATTTTTGACCTGTAACATATCAATATTACTAAGCTTCTGACAGCTTGTTCAACCTCAACGGTATCGTCAAAAAAGCAAAGGCATTACTCGGCATCCAGTGACGTTCTTCCTCTGTCGCTTTACCTTTTTAGCTTAATTTATCCCTTCTTTGTCACTTTTGTCGTTCTTAACTCATGTTCTCTTCGTTGCAAACTTTTCTCCTTTCTGTGTGTGCTAATAGGTGCCACTTAACTTGAAAGCTTTGCCTACAACGGATTTTGCGCTCATTCCCTGAACATATCATTGTCTTGCTTTTTTAATTTCTTTTTTTGTGCACGGCATAGTGTGGAGTGTAATAATTCGAGAGTATGAATTAAAAAATGGTCTCTGCGGATCAATTATAGAACTCTTTCGTGTTTCACCATTTCCTCAACGAAATGCATTTGAATGATCATTGTATTGACCTGTTTCTTAATTCCAGTGAGTATAGGTGCTAAATGAAAAAAAAATTGAATCAGATACAACAAAAATTTGGCAAATTTTTGGGAATAAATGAACCAAAAATAGAGATTTCCCTAAAGTCGTGTTGTGTAGTACATTATTGTCTGATCGTGGACACTTGTGTACAATTTCAGTCGCTAGGGTCTGATTTTAGGGACTAGTGTCAAATTTTTTATGTCAGTATCCGATTGCAGATGCCAGTGTCCAATTTTGGACACTAGCCTGATTTAAGACACAATTGTCTTTAATTTAAGAAGAAAGCGACAAAACTTTTGAGTCTGTGAAACATGTTTCGACAGAAACTTCTGTCATCTTCAGTTAATTATTGTAAAAAGCGTTGGAAGTTGAATTAGATAGTAGGTAGAACTGCGCTAATTATGATAAATAGTGACAACAAGAAAAGAGGTAAAGCATGAAAGTGCGAGAATTAAAAGGATAGTTTTAGATTTACATGGTGTAATTGTTGATTCAAGGATGGTTGTTCTCTTTGAATGTGAATAGCTTATTTTATCTTAAGTTGAAAGCCGGTAGAGGCGTGATCTAAAATATGAAAGTTATCTGCTGAACACAAAGCGCGACAATGCGGGGGAATCTTTTTTAGTCAGTAATTAAAATGGCTGCTCGAATTGCTTAATCGTGGGTATCCAGGCCTTGGGAATGTCGATTCCGCTATCCCTATTGATGTTGTTGGGATGAAGTCTTATATGGATCGCCGCCTGATTTTAGACTCAAGTGTCTGATGTTAGACATTGGTGTTCAATTTTAGACATTAGTGTCCGCTTTGGACATTAGTCCAAAAAAAGGGTTTGCCCACTGAAACAGTGAACATTGCTCGCATTGTATATGGTTGAACATTTATTGAAAATGATATCTTTGCATCATACCGTCAAAGTCAAACAAACATTTAAAGAAGTGTTTAATAAGTGGGAAAGACAAAAGTGCGCAAATGTAAGTTTTCAATTTTAAAGCTAGAAATTATGTTCACAATATTTTTTTCATGTTCCCTTAATGATAAACGCCCACGCAACGTGGTGTAATAATAGGTCGCGTGGGGCTAAACATCTTTAGCAGTTGACTCAGTTATTAGCCGTAATGATCATGATCATTATCATTACAACAAATCTGAATTGCATTTTCCCATTCTATAGAAACAACCCAGGAACTGGACTCTACGCACAGTATTGTGCAGGGTCAAAAATCGCGACGTATCATTTCTCGAGCTAAGCGCTAGCCGTTGTTAGAGTGCACTCTGATTACCGTAACGCTTCCAAAATTATCTAAAACCTCCACATCACTGCAAGAAATATCGATGAAACGACACCGCCAGATGTTGCGTGTACACGCACGATTTACGCACTCAAAGGAACACGTCACAAAGCCGTATATACAAGACACTTGCATGTGTTGTGGACCGTTTTAAAACTACACAAGGCACACCGCAATACCGCAATGTAGAATTTCAATTACCGCAATGCCTCCCAAAAAATTGCGCAACACTGAAAATCCCAATGTTCTCTTTTTGCCCTCATTCGAATGTTTAGTCCAATCTAATCTGACACGACAATAGCTAGCATCTGGGGTGCCATAATTGCCAAATAATGATATGTTTATACCTCAGTAAAGAACATCTTGTTTTACATAAGCAATATTTGTTTTCGGGTCACCACCTCTGAACTAACCACATAAAGTTTGTTCTGAAGATATTGTAATCCCTAATCCCTTTCGCATGTGCGATGACTCCCCATTGGACCCCTTTTTGGATCATTTTTGGACTATTTTATGAGGGGGAGAGGCAGATCAGTAGTGCATAGAGAGAGGTGGGATGCAGTCTATCAACACTCAGGGAGGGGTAGGAGGCACACTGTTGTTAATGAGTCCATTGGTCCAAGGGTCCAGTGGTCCAGTCCATTTTTTAATCCTATACCGGTTCATTTGGATCTTCTAACCTTTCCCACGGTCAGCGCTGAATCTTTATCGGTTTAATAATTAAGATGGGGAATCTGATAACACAGTAAACGGCGAAGATAAAGAGATGGGGGCAGCGTATGTTAGTTCTTAGTCCGAAAAAACTATAGTTATTAAAGAATAATTATACCCATTAAGGATTATTTTCCACCCAAACATGGCATGATGAATTATATGTTATTTTTCACCCAAACGTTTCGTTAATCAGTGGTTTCGCTGAGGAGTTAATTTCAAGTGGGTGCCGAAAGAAATCCCTTTATGTCCTTGTTTGCGTGTCTACGCCCTGCACTCGGTTTAACAACACGCGCCACCTTGTCGACCAATCAAATAAAAGGTAAAACTAATCGATGGGATTTTTCTGGTTTTGCAAATCTGACTTTACGACTTTTAAAGTCTTTCTTCAGTTTAAAAACAAAGATAACCACCGAATAAATTGGAAAAAAAACTTTTTAAGTTTTTGATTGAGATCAGAGAGCAAAATTTCGCTTTGTGAAGCATCCTCTTTCTCCTTTCTCTCGCGTCCTCCCTTTCTTCGAGGGAGCGGGGAAGATTGACGGCGAGCTAGCGCGAAGTCTCGCATGATCCGTCAACATTTGAGGATAAGAGTTATTTGGCCTTGCACATATTTACGGTTGCTTTTCCGTGATTCAGTAATGTATGTCTATATCCGATGTTTTGAATTTTTTGCAAGGAACAGTTTTTCAAATTTTCTGCTTGGAAAGAGGAAATGGAATGGACACAATTTCAAGAATTATGTTTAGTGTTGCAACACGAGAGACAATGCGCGTTCTCGTATGTCTTTAAACTGTTTGGCACTCCTTGCGCCTTTTTCGTCATCCTCTCCCTGTCCCTTGGTCTACTTGGTCAAACTATACTGACGATGTGAAACAAAAAGGCAAAACTCTTACATTCTTCCTGTGGTCGGTCTAATCTACTCAGCATTATCAAGGAATTGTCACTGATAAGTGATAACTTGAGATCCGAGCAGATGGTCAAAGACGCGATGACAGACTTCAACGCGCGGAAACATGTGACCCTAGTAATGTCCAAACCAGACCGCCTATTATCGTTAATTGAAGATATTTAGAAGTCACAATGCTTCTTTTATACCAAATTAAGTAATAGCCGAGGATTTTGTTTCTTTTTCGAAAAATTTCTCCTTTTAGAACCGCATCATGTTTAAATTTTCTTGTTTACATCAAAGGTTAACTCGGTTACATTGGGTCTTAGCGCAATGTCATCTGATTTGAATTCATTGCATTATATGAGAGCAAGATGTTCATAGCATCCGCACGATACATCCTAAAACCATTTTAAAATATTCAAAAAGGAAAACCGATGTTTTTTTTTTGCTAGGTTTTAAAGGCGTCCATTCACTCGCTGCCAAACGCGCGAGCATTTCGTGATATAGCACCACTTTCATTTTTCTTTTGAAAAACAGGCAGCAAAATTAAAGCAGACAAAATGAGGTTTTAATTATCGCAAACCACGCAATTTTTTCAATAAAATTTTTGGTTCTTAATAAGCTGCCTAATATGTTTGTTTTTTATTTAAAAGAAACCGAATGTAACAAAAAACCATAAGATAAGAGAAATTAAGCATTAGATTACGCGTCAAGTGGATGAGAGAACAGATCTTGCCATGATCGCGGTGGCCATGATCGACTGAGCGATCAAACTTTTGCTCACATATTTCACCAAACTTTGCATCCCTGATTCTTTATTGAAGCTTTCTATACAATTCCCAAAATTAAATCTTTAATGTTTCTACCAATTAAGAATCAATTTTGAGATATCTTTGGAGATAACCATCGCGTGTTCAGTCCAGTTTGATTAGACTAAATTCAGCATTCCAGCTGACTACATTAATTACGCAATCTTGTAAGCAACGCTTGCTTAGGTCTTGCACGGTGGTGTAATAAACCCACTTTTCACTCAATTTGACTTCAAAAGGGTCAAGATTTTCTCGTCAATTTGAAAAAGATTAAATAAGTGAAATTGTCCAGAAGAAGGGGATCAAAACAAACATCAGTGCGACAATCGCTTACCGATGTTGAAATTTTCATTTCCTGTTGACGGTGGCAAACAGGAAAAAGATGCAGGCCCCTTTCCCGAGTTTGAGGTCACGCGAAAAAATGTTTTGCCAATAAGAAACACATGGTAGATCTTTAAGCACCCGATAATTGTTAAATAAACTAAGTCACCAATTGTTTGTACTTATTGTTTTTCAATAGCCCCGGTTCGAGGCAAGATTTGTTAAAGAAGTTGGTACAGTCGAGGAAAAAAGATATTGAACATCGCCGTTCGACAACGCTAAATTCTCTCTATGTGAGATAATGGTAAGGTGTCAAGAAAACAGTAAGACCTCTTCAAAGCTCGTGCCTTAGTTACCCCCTGCCAAATACCGCGCCACGAAACCCTACCCCTGCCCTTTATATGATCGGCTTTTATACCAAGAGCATCCCACTTGAATTAAGAGCTTTGTGTTTGCAGCTGCAGCGACACGTTGAAAGTTTATCGAAAATGTGGCATAGTGAGTTTACAACAAATTGGCCCGGTATGGTTCAGCAACAGATGCTTCCATCCAGTTACCTTGAAGACGACGACGACTCACACGTGAAAAGGCCAATGAATTCGTTCATGATCTGGGCAAAAATTATGAGAAGGAAGTTTGCTGAGGAGAACCCTAAACTACACAATGCAGAGATCAGCAAGCTGCTGGGCAAGGCGTGGAATGAGCTGACCACGAAGGAAAAGCGGCCGTTTGTCGAGAAAGCAGAAAGGCTTCGAATTCGTCACATGAAAGAGCATCCTAATTACAGGTACACGCCAAAGAGGCGATCGCAAGACAGACGGCCTGGTCAGCGAACAAACTCCACTTACATGAACCCGAGCTTCATCAGCAACATTTCAAACGTTGTAATGAACAGTCAGATATTTGGACTGCCTCCTACTCCAGAACTTAGTCCTAAAGACAGACATTGTGCTTCCACTCCATACATGGACCATGCAGGACAATACTATCCGACGGGATATGAAGATTGGAACTACAATACGTACAGGGAATCGTTCGGCAATCATCGTGATTACAATGGTTATCCTCCGACAAGATTAGAAAGAGACCAAGGCAGACCTCAATTTAACGGTCCTTCAACCTCTGACTATCCTAATCCACGATTTAAAGGAGCCATATGCTTCACACAAGATAGAGACACTTTTAGTTATAATGATGAGACTAGGCCTGGCACAAGCTCAGAACAGATGTTTCACCCAGAAAACGCAAGGAAAGACGTAACATTTCCACCTTGCGCATATCAGTCCGGAAAGATAAAATCACCAGAGAATTATTATTTTAATGAACCTCGTTCATCGATTGTCAAAACTGTGGTACATTCCGCAGGAAACGTTGGATCTACGTTGGCCACAGGCGAACAGCAACAATCTCAAAAAATCGTCAGAAGAACACGCTTAAGTTCTTGTAGATTTGCACAGCCTCAAACTGTAGAAAACGACGACGAAGAAGAAGGTGAAGATTATTCTGGACGGATGAGAGAAAACTCGGGGACAATTCTAGAAAATTTCACCGAACTTTTAAGCGATGATTTAGACAGAGAGGAATTTAGTATGTATCTCGCCGAGGCGTACTGACTGAAGTAAATTCTTCCATTGTAAACACTTTTAAGGATCAGTGTTCCCCATCGAAATCATCGCATAATGGTAAAACTGTGAGAGACGAAGTACAGTTTTTATCCATGAAAGGCCGGCATTAAATTGCTATTTGTTAAATATATCAGAAGGTGGCACGAGTGGTTAACGAGTTTAGAATGATATTACATCATATTAATCGAGAGTGCTTTTGCTGTAAACAAACTGCTGTATCCTGTGTTTTTGGGAACTGTTTTCTTTCACCTACAGAGTGTCTCGAGGACTTGTGAACAGCGCATTTGCAGGCCGTTGATAGAGGCCTGCTATTATCCGTATATAGCGTTTGTGACGAAAACCTTTCGTTGTTCCACGGCGCTGAAGCTGCAATGATAAGGCGTTGAAAAAAGTCGAAGGTTATCTCCTACGATTGATAGCTTACTTACTTTATTATGTTGATACTATGCTAGAAACATTAGGAATTTAAGTGCAATTTTGGTTAAATCCGTAGCAAATGTCGCCTTTTAAATTTGCAAAATAGCTTCAGCGTTGTAGCAATTAAACATGATAGCTTGGTCCAGACGCCGACGTGTTCATAAATCAAGTTCTCAGTGGTTCTTTTGCATCATACCGGCAAATTTAAACTGGGCTTCACTTTGCACGGGATCATTTTCAAAAATTCATAATTGTCATACAGTCGGGACCTTGTTGCGAGGAACAGAATTAGAAATGTCTTATGTCACTGATAAATGTTTGATGCTTTTTTTTCAAACTATTCTCGTTCTTTACGTTCTTGAGGTTTCTGATGTCCCCTGCTGTGGCAAACTATCATAGCGACAGTTGTCGACAAAACCGCCTACTATGTGTGCTGCAGTTTGTAGATAACTTTACGAGGCGGTGAAATTTCTCAAATTATTATAGGAGCTGTTGACTGATTACGGCTTAAACATCTCAGTCGTTCCTGCGTTAAATACATAAACATCTTCTTTGAAGCAGGCTTTTTTTTTGGCATGGAAGCTGTTCAGAGACGTATCAGAATTTATAGGCAAACTCACTGGGCATTAATAATTATAATAATTTATTGACTTATACTCCGCAGTTATCAATATAAACTTTTCAATTGCGCATTACAATATTAAAAATTCAACTATATCTAGATATTAAATGAGCATTGCACCAAAGGATTAAGTCTGACCTACTATTGCAGAGGAATTTAACCAAAACGATTCCCAAATTAATCGACAAAACCATTACCGTGAATTTCTGGTTCATTTTAGCCTATGTAAAAAGTTGGTGACTAAGAATGATCTGATGAGAGCCCAACATAGGTTTTCAGTTAGAACTTCCAACAGATTTTTAAGAGAAACGAGGCATTTCATGGTCCCACGGCTTAACTTTTTCTGACTCGAGGAACAAAAAAAACAGTGAAAGAAAATTGTACATGTACCTTTCAAAGTTTTTCATGTCAGCCTGCTAAAAATACTGAAAATTTATTCAGTATTAATTTATCGGCACAGTATGCCGAGTGCAAGGTGATTCACAAAAAAAATAATAATCAATGGAAAAAGAATGAACATAATTTATCGGTACACTGAAACCGATTCTATATTTTGTCCCTGTCCCGTTCGTCAAAAAAAGGAGTCGGTTTGTTTTCCTTACGTCGAAGCAGCAGTTGAACTCAGGTTTTTTCCCCCAACTCTTAAATTCATTTGAAAGCCTTATTCGTTGTCCTGAATCTAGATCTCTTCATAAAAAAGAACATTTTATCAAACCTAACCCATCATGTTCATAGCATTCTTTTTTTTAAGTATTTCAAAAACTGTTTAGTGAAGTTGATATAGGTTGTACAGTTTTTTCTATCACCCCACTTAATATACTTTGTTCTCCTAATAGAGGGGTTATTTACAGTAATTATGTTGAATCGAATAAGGGAATTTAAACCACTGTCTTCTTAATGAGGGTTTCCGCTGAGTATAGCACCACTTAAGGCATTTTACACTTTAGCATTTCATAATTTTGATAGGAGCCTATCAAGTCCATTCAAGAACTTAGCTGAAATTAAAAGTAGCAATGCACTGACCCATGAGCAGCGTAACCCCTCCGGCAAATTCTTCGTTTTTTACCACAGGAAATATTTGTCTGGATTAAGAAATTTTCAGTCTACGACGACAGACGATCTGTTTTAACAGAGATATTTGTTGGGCATGGAAGGTAACATTATAACAGTGTCCTTTATTCGTTTTACATAACTCTCCAATTATCACCTTGGGTAAGTATGACAGATTTTCAGCTTGAGTCGAGAAAGAACCTTTTCTTCTCTGTGATATTTTTTAGCACTTTCCGCTCCAGTTCATAAAGTTTTTTTTTCTACCTTTTTCCTTCAAATAGTTTCAGAGTATTTTGATGTTACCTTTTGGCTGCCTGTTGGCCGTTTTGGAGCTATCAAATTGTTGCATGCAGAACTGTTTGAGTTTGATAGACGGCATAAAGCCTCATGCTGGCTAGAAATACATCTTTATAATTTTTCCAATGTCACTAAGGGAAACACGATACAGCAAAGGGAATTTGGGCCAGCCATTCTGGAGATTTTTGGTGCCAAACCCAGCTGAAAGGCCCTGAGAATTATGAGTGGATGTAAGAGAAGCTGTTGGAACTCATAACTAGCTAGGAAGGTTAGGTGATGATGATTAAAGGTGCTGCTTTAAAAAACACTGCCACTTTGTTTTGAGCAAAACCGCTGTTTGAGGCTGTATCATGGATACGAGAAAGAGTTTTTCTGCAGCGGGATTCTCTTTCCTTCCGGCCAATGCTGGTAAATCCATTGGATTGATTCCAGTCTATGTCATCTCTTTTACACAGATTGATCCAATTCTCTCAATAATCTACACTTCCGGTGAACAGTTACCGCTCTTATCCTCGATCAAGCAAACCACTGATTCTTTCTACGAATCCCATACATTTCTCTTTGGATCAGTTTTGAGAATTGAGTAGTTCATTACCACAATTTCGTGCACTGTCTGACTATGCAAAGTCTTAACAATAAACTCAGCTATTGAAACAACTCCCTCAGCTAGGCGCGCCCATTTTGGGCTCAAATGCTCCAAGCAAGGAATTTGAGTGAGAGTGTTTTTTTGTGCTGCTCAAAGTCGTCGCTTCAGCTGAAACTAACATTGGTTTCCGTGAGCGAGACTTGCATGCTTTTGGTTGCAAAGTTACCAATGGGCTCAAATCAACTCTCTTCAGCAAAGTGCAAGACACCTTTCCTTTTCCAAATGCATAAAGGTAGTTATCGATTTAACCCTAATAATCTTATCGCTATAGTGTTCGATAATTCATATGGAACAATTCATAGTTCAAGGCATGTATTTGATTCATCTATTTGGGCTTAAATTGTACCCATGAAACATAATCCTTACGAGGAAAGGTACTTCTGAAGAACGATAAATTTATAAATATCTTGAAAAGACTATATTTGACGACACTTTATATCCTTTAAGTTTGTTTGGTTATAGAAATCTCAACCGTGGACCTCCTGCTGAGCTCTATCCAATTAAAAGCGGGACCGTTTTGGAATCGCAATTTTTGAGTCTCAGTTGCGAAATATTCAGCGATAACTGCAGAAGCAGTGCTCGTTTTGAGAAAAGCTTGCGACTTTCCTTCAAGGAGAGCATCGACAAGCGTCTGAAATAGCCAATAATCATGCCAGAAAAGTGAAGGAAAAAGCTCAGGAGCAACAGAGTACGCCGCAGGATACCCTTCGAACTATAAAGGCGCACTTACACATATCTCTCTCGCATGTTTCTTAAACACCAACAGATTCCCTTAACCGTCATTCAAAGTATTGACATATAACCATTTTAGACTGTTGTTAATGAAAAACAGATTTACAACCATGGTGAGTAAAGAGTACTTCTACATTCCGTTAAACTGTAAATTCTTTGGTTTCTCAAAAACATGTCATGACCATAAACTGAGGGGACCCTTGCTTTCCAAGTTGTTAAGAGCTTTTGCCGTGGTTCAAATTATTATTTTCTTGGTAACCATTATTAATGCTTTGCCATCCACAAGGCACTTTGTCAAAGCCGTAAATATGGTATACGATTAGCATAAATGATCTTCTTGGTAGTCCCGCCTGTTCATTAAGACGCATTATGTTAACTTGGACGGCGAACAGATGAGTTTAAGTCGGTATGCCAGACCTTTCGAAAAAAACACCAACTTTGTTATCGCATATCGACCTTGCAATGGCCTGGCTCATCATTTCCGTAGCTTAGTGACGGAGCATCGAAGCGGGATATCCGAAGGTCTGGGTTCCGATTCCCGTTAAAGAAACTCCGAATAATTCTTAGTCCCACATTCGTGACACGAAATATGACATATGTTCTTTGTATGCTGTTCTTAGTTTCTCGGCTGAGTCATGGGCCTCAAGTTTGAAGATTCAATACGTCCATTTTGAAGTGACTGGTGATCCTTGTCATCTGATTGGCTCTCACTGCAGCGATTTATTCACGAATCGCACAAGTTTTTGCTCTAAATCGCATCTCTTTTCCAACCAATAAGGAGTTTAACTAAAATACAACAACCAAAAGTAACCAGTCAAATTTCAGGAAAATGAAAAACAACTTTTGCAACTTTCTTCAAACCAGCACACTTGTAGATCAACAAAACATTTGTACAGACCGGCTAAAAAAATCCCGTATCTGAGCGACTAAATTTGGCGATTTCAAAATTAATGTTGTGAAATTTGGTCTGAAACCATACTCGTGATTTCAAATCAAACTCGTACTTCACACTCATTTGCTTTTGAAATCAATCTAATGATTTCAGACCAAATTGCACTCCACTCAGTTCACTTACCATTATAAACCGTCATTTCTCTTTTACGTACCTACCTAACTTAGTGTAAAACGTCATTGCGTTATTCCATATAAGGAGGGGTATGAGCAGAGTAGCCGTAAGGTTTTTCCCGAGGGGGACTTAGGGACTCTCCACCGTTTAAAGGCCAAACCCAAAACGTATGGAAACTTCATATCTTAAATGTAATGGCATTCATTCAAAATTCACCTGATTGCGGTAACTTGGTCATAGAAATAGCAAATTTGAACAGTTGTTGGATCAATATCAGTATCTGGGCAACTGCCCACCTACCCCTCCCCTAACCCAACATTAACCCTAACTTGTTATCAATCGATTGTTGTTTAGTTAGGGAAGGGGTAGGTGGGCAGTTGCCCAGATACTGATATTGATCCCAGTTGTTGAAAAAAATCCAAACAAAACGTTGACGCCCTTCATCATCGATGACAGTCAAGCATTGCACATCATTATGTTTACCCTTTACATAAAGCAGGGACGAGCTCTAGCTTATATAAACAAGCACCTGACGTTTAACTAAGTCCGTTTCTCACTGGCGCATGTTTCATTCCCGCAAAAGTCGTTTGCGTAGTATAAGTGGTATTCTTGTCGTTGCAAGAACTTGTGGCAATAAAAGAACCTCACAGGTATGATATAAGGGACAAGGGGGAGAGGGACTGGGAGGTTCCTGACCCTCTTGAACCTTCCCCTGTACACCTTCCTCTGCACAGCGACAGCGGGATATTTTAAAGAACCTTACGGAGATTTTTTAAGCGACAGCGATCAACTTAGGTAATTTTAATGAGTCTTTGTGTTCGCGTCTGTACTAATAACAAGGTTAGACAAGACACTAATGGATTCTATTAAATGGTGGTCATTTGAACGGTACAAAAGCGTGATTTAGCCGGTGTTGTCCGACATCTGAACCATCTTTGGTCAGGGCGATAGAAAAATGAGCGGGTTACTTTCTTTTGGTTAAGGTGGGCGGTAGTTTTGCAGCCATACCATAATGGCCATACTTATCGTATACCACCCACAGTCAATATTTTTGCACGCAAATAACATGATGGTCACACTATATTTTCATTCAAATAAATAGACTTCTATCAATTATAACGATCTATTAGATCTAATTTTTAAAGGGCTGAAAGTAAATTAGAATTTTAAATGGTGAGAAATTGTTTAGCTGATCACATCTTGTACGTATATATTATAGAGCTAGTAAAGAGATTAAGAACCACTCGTTATTTATCACGTAAGAGGAGGGGAAGGGTTTTTTTTCCCTGGGGGGGGGGGGAAAATAACATGGTTTTCAGGGGGAGCGGAGGAGGTATACTCGCCAGCAGAGTATAAATGGGGGTGTTGGGGTTTTTATTTGCTATATCCTCCGATAATTAGATTTATAAGATTCCAAGATTTTAACTCGTCAAAAAGAAACTATCCGTTCTCGAGGAAAACAACTTCTCTCGAAGGCTTTAACTCAATTCTGGTATATGAAAGCTATGCGTGTGTAAATAAACACGCCCTTTGATAAGATAAGCAGTATTCGGTTTTATGCTCGGCTCTAATTAAAAAGTAATATAATGTTCGCAGTGTTGAGTTCTGAAGGTTCGTAAGGTTCAGTTCTGAGATTCGTGTTCCGTTTCTTCATAAGGGGAATATAGAAAATTGAGTGCTAATTAACTGCCAATGAAGGGTGATCATTAAAATATCACAGAGTTTCATGTGATGATATTGGTAACAAATCATGATCGGTCCCTTAATAAGGTTATCATTGTCAATTTAAGAGAAAAACTGAGTAGTTCTATACATAGGTTATGCACCTATAATTTTCAAGCTGTTCCACAAGGTTTCCATTGGCTGCATCATCGATATCGTCTCTAGTATACGAGGTGTTCTTGTACCTTATTGATGACGTAAACTCCTCTGTCAGCGTTTCATTTCTGCTACTCCGATTGCTCGATAGTGTTGGTGTAAGAGGCGTTGAAGGTATGTCACTTTGAGGTGCACTTGACCTACCACAAACGATAGCAGCTACTGCCTTTCGAAAGTTGGGCATCCTCCAAGCATAAAGAAACTGATTCATCGAGCAGTTGACTAATGTCAGAAGGAACTGTAAATCCCGTAGCCAGTGGATAAGTATACAGTCACAATCATTGCAAAGGTTTATCATGTATATCATGACACACGATGGTATTAAACACAAAATGAAACACATTAAAATCAAGCTAAATGACCGCGTAAGTTGTTTTTCCATGGCCATGGCTTTTGACACGATGCGGTCTTGACAAAATGAACGCCAACGAGACACCTGAACTCTTAGCTTGTAATGAATCTGACAGTAAGAAAATGTGACAATCACAAATGTGGTGATAACTGCGGTATTTGCGAATATAAACGCAAACAAGTAAAACCCAGTAGCGAAATAAACGAGAGGTATCGTCAGAGATAAAAACCATATTAACGCACAGATAAGAACCACTGAACGAGTGGAAAATTTCCTTCTGATAGTCACGATTGTTAAATGTCTGTCAAGAGTTAGAGCAGTCAGACTAAGAAGTGAAGCTGTACAAGAGATGAAAAACGTTAAGTGAACAATCCATATCGTTCCTGAGACACCGTGGCCAAGGGCTTCCCGAATATGCCAAACGACGAATGCTGGTTCGGTGAAAATCCCGACAATGACGTCACTAAATGCCAGTTGGAGGACAAAATAGTTGAATGAGTTAGATAATTCCTGATAAGGATCTTTCAAAATGGCAATGCAGATCAGAATGTTTCCTGGAACTGTAATACAACAAAGCAGTAAGGAGAGACATGCAGTCGTCACTGATGTAGCAAATGGTGCGTGCACGTCGTCACATAAATTGATCATGAAAACCATCATGAAATGTCTCTTGTTCTTCTACCTTCAATAAAAATACAGCATTAGTTTGACATTTTACATGAAAATAGGGTATCATAAATAAATCATATTGTTGACCATATTATTCTCAAGCACTTGATCCCAACGACAAATTAATAAAAAAAAACAGTGGTTGAATGAAGGTCATCATTCTTAATTTTCTGAAACCTCTCGTTTTCCCAATGAAGGTCTTTCATGAATCATACATACATAAGAAGGTGAATAGTACGAAATTTGAAAGAAACTGCTCTCTTGAGTATTATCACATGACCTAACTCACAGCACATTGGAAAAACAAAATATGCAAGCTTATTCAAGAGACCTATTCAGGAGTATCTATATTGTGAGGTTCAAGAGGTCAAAGCCAGCAAATAGGTTCAAGTAATTACATTTGTTGATTTTATGATTTCTAAATACTAAACAATATTGATCACCAACGAATCTATTTTCAAAGACCCAAGGAGAACCAGTACAGGGTTTGCTAAAAAAATATTCCTTCGCGTGGGAAAAAGGTTGGCTGTATACTGTCTTCCATTTTTTTTCCTTTTAATGTAAACACTGGCTCAAAGAAGGCACTAATTTGGTTTTATCAACTGAATTGATAAAGTGAATTGGCTACTGCAGGCGGGTTATAGAGCAGATATTTCGAGCATTAGTCCTTCGTCAGAGCGAATCAGACTCGCCGTGATGGAGGGCTAATCTCTGGAAAGGTAAGCCTTAGATCCTCTCTAAGGTAGCCAACTCACCCTATAAACTCAGTTGATATAAAACCAAGTTATCTTGTAGAAACCCTAAAAGACGCAGCACCACAGTTTTTTTAGAAACTTACCCCCTTTAATCATATTTTAATCATTTTCCCATCATTTGGCAAGTGTCGCACAGATAGTTCATAGATAAGCGACCAACCGATAAGTTTTGTCAGTGTTCTAATCTGTTTAAGCATACTAAATATTTGTTTGTGTTCCCGACACATAGGCAAATTCATGGCATATATTTTTAAACTGAACTGAAACTTTGGTAGAGAATAGACCAAACAGAAATAACTGACTGGCGAGCCTTAAAGAATTTCATACCATATGTCGCCTTTGTTGGATAACAATAATTAAAATTGCAAAACAACAATTTTGGGAACGCAAAGTAGGTAAGGAATAGAGTCACGTACGCTTATAAACATAGTAACCGTCACACAGCTCCCCCATTGTGTTCATCAGTAATATAATTGGAAATCGTGTTGTAAACAAGCCTTCTAGATCAAAATTACAAGTTCTAACAAAGAAAAGGCAGCTACTGGGCAATCTTAGCTCTTACCTTTACGTATAGTTCAAACCGGCTTTTTCTACTGAATTTATTCAACAGTGCAACTGAAAATCTTTGAAGATGGACTTGCTTCATGTGAATGTGAAGTTGTCCACATCTGGTCCTATTCCAGTGGGATATGAAGTGTTTGTTTTCTGAGACAATAAGATCATATTTTGACTTGTTAGTTAAAACAAAACATCGTCTAAAGAGGATCAAGATAAGATCATGCGTGAAATGATAATGACGACGCTGAGTTCAGTAATATAAACACTTCTAAGTGATCGACCAGTCATGCATACCGTGAAATAATAATAATAGAAAATCCGTTCTTCATCAGTGATAACCAAATTGAAATCATTTTCCAGTATTATCACATCTATGGGCTAGGTTCACAAATTGTTCTTCTCCGAGATACTTTCATTTCCTTTTTCTGAAGATTGGATTTTCATTTTACGTCTACAAACTCTGTGGCTCAAAAAGAAAAAACAAAGCATCAACAACAAAACAAGACTGTATTTTCCACACTTGGACGTTTCCTGACTTTCTTTCCTTGCAAATGCTATCAGACAACGCCCAATTATTTTTCAACAATTTTTAATCACACCTCTGACAGAGAAAGTAAACATGCCAGCATTAGAGCCTGTTAGAAACGCTTTTAAGTTAACTTTCATATGTCGAAAACAAGTTCATTGATTGCGGTGTTTTCACTATATTTTAGTTTCTTATTTATTTATTTATTTATTTATTTATTTTCCATACTACAATAGAAATTAACAAAGAAAATTGACAAGCTAAGCTAAATATAGCAATGTGTATGGCGAAAAAAACCTGAATGAAAACACGAGCCTTACATAAGGTTAGGATTCCTCCTAAAAGACGCAGAGGTGTGAAGCCAGATTCGTATCAAGGAGAGAACCCACGAAAAACCAAAGGAGTAAGTTGATAATTGTGTGATTAATAAGCGATTCCTCACTCCTCGAAGTTAAAAAAGAATTAGATTTTTGGTCAGAGTCATCTTTAACTATCGAAAAGTTCATGAGACTCTGCTGTAAGAGCTTTTTCCTGTTTTTTAAATTTTGACTGAATTTGCTATGAGGATCACAGAACATATAAACGTATCTTTTTCGCAGTTGTGTAAATTTAGACACTTATAACTACAGCAACACTAAGGACACTTAAGTGTTCCTGTAGTCGGTCGGACTTGTTGCGTCATAGAAAAATGTGTCTAATAATGATTGGGAAATCTAAAAATTTCATTATCGAAGAGTCATGAATGATGAGTTGACAAATGTTGAAAACACTTTTCATAAGGCTAATTATCCTCAGCAAATTTATCTATCACAATTCATTTTTTGTTGGGGAGGTTGTACCAACTCAACATTAACTTCAGTCTGCGGAGAAGTAAAGTGATTTAAAGAACTTTCGCTTAAAATCTACTAGAAATCTTTGGCTTAGGCTTTTTTCTTCTTTGCTTTGTTTTTCTCTAAAGTAGACCGTTCGAAAAAAAATTGACCTTTCTCAGACCTTTCCTCAGGGTTGCCCTTAGGATCAACAGTGCTGAAAATCACGCGCCAAAGAATGATTAATAATCACTTTTCCAAAAACAAAAATCAAGTGAATGTAAGCATTTTCGAATCGCATCTTGCGTTAAAGCCGTGATAAGAAACTTCTGTAAAGAAATGAAGCGCGACGCAAACGCCAAGCGCATTGCACACCAACGCCGCTAGACAATGTTTACCTCACAGGCGCTTCTACGTTTGTTCTCTCGCTGGAATAAACAGCGGTTTGACTGAGCTATGTAACAAACAATTACTTGCCCAGTCAAATTTGTATTCCCTTCCCTCAGTAGTCCGTCAGCAGCGCTTTTAGACACCATATATAGCAACTCTAGTTTGTTTAGTTTTCTGTCTGTCTGGCAGGTACCTGACAGAGATCTCAGATGGAATCTTTTGTCAAGCCGAGCCTCTTGGAAGTTTAGAAATTACCCAGATTTTTCCGTGACACTTAATATCCTAAAGAGGCATGATCAAATTCTAAACCACTTAGGAAAACACTTTGAGACGGCGGCTATGAATCTCAAACCGATGAAATGACAAGAAAAAGTAACTGTTCAAAGCCACTTAGCCGATACAGCCTTGTAGAGGTAATTCCTAATGGGAGAATAACCAGGGTAACCCTGTACTAGCTCCAATGGTGAGTAAAATTTACGATGATTTTTATTACGTAAGTCGTTTCAGCTTTGAGTAGTCGGTCTGTGTGCATGGATATCCTTGCAAGTAGGGCAATTTGCAGGAATTTTGCCAAAAGATAGTCTCACGTTGAGAAATCTTTCGTCCGCGAATTAGATGCCATCTTGATAAATTTACGAAAAACTAACTCTTGCCCCACAGTATCGACAACCCAGGCGCATATCATCATCCAGAAGTCCTCCGTCACGCGAACGTTTGTTAGAAGTGATGTATGCGTGACAGTTTAAGGATTTATAGCCAGTGTAGTTTGTTATTACTACACTTTTAAGTTCAGAAAGACGAATAGAAGACGAATTAGTTGTAACTTTATAAAGAGATGTTCTTGCTTTCGGAATTTAGAGCTACGGAAAAAAAAAAACCTTTGAAAAATAATTAGTACAGAATTCCTTTAAATCAACGCTTCTTAGAAGTGTAAACCTATCTGGTAAGATTGAAAAAATTGACAGTGAATGTCTATCGTCGCTCACTATGAAAATGTCAAAAGACAATGATAGAAGAGATAAATCTACAAAATACAAGTCAACTCAAGGCACAAGTTTCCTCCCTCACTGTTCTCCTTACAACATTTTTCTGTTCTAACCTCAACGACAGTGGGCAGATAAGTTAAATTACCAGGTGCGTTACTCGAAATATGTAATCATGTTATCAAAAGAGCTGGATCATACCATTCTAGACCAAAAAGGTTTCCAAGACACAACAAACAATACTTATAAACAACTGGAGCGTTTTGGTTTGCTGTAAGTTGACGGCCCAAACTGATTTTTTCGGGGGGTACTTCCGAGTTCTTTAAGCCTCGGATTTCGCTTGTCCTGTCCCCTCGCATGCACTTGTCGAAGTTTATTTGTTATTCTGCAACTTTTTCCTATCCAATCACATCCTATTTTTTCATGGTCATTGAAAATTGTTTCAACAGTTAAACAACTTTATGTTACTTAACCCTAAACTTAGGGGAGGAATACCTATTACAAAATTTTGCTTACAACAGGGCAAGTTATCAGCAAGACAACAAGATTGTTGATTCTTCAAGATTCTCAATAGGAAGTGAGCGCAATCGAATAGTGTGGACGAGACCAATAGTGTCACGTGCCTAACGTGTCGGTCTTGTGATACCTGTTTACCCAATGACATAATAAAATGATTTCGCAAAAAAATCGAGATTGCTTTTATTATGAACCAACTAGTCGTTCAAAACTTGATAACAAGACAGGTTCATGTTTTAATTTCAATTTGTTTATCATCTCACACCGTTGGCTACTTTCTTTACCCGCAATACATAACGGAATAGCAAGTAGTGTAACCAATGAGATTGCAAAATTTGCGATGGAGCGCTAGAGAATTTATACCACTGAAAGATGAAGGTAACTTCACTTTTGTTACAGGTTGAATCGGAATGATGCCTTTTATCAAGAATTTATGCGAGGATACTCGGCCACCATACTCCTTGTCGATGTTCACGGCCTCTGTATCACTGGTGCTATGTTTAATCACGGTGCCGGGAAATGTGTTGGTTTGCTTAGCAATCTTCAAGGATCCTTACAAAGAACTGAGGACGTCGTTTAACTTTTTTGTATTTCAATTGGCCATTAGTGACCTTGTAGTGGGAGTTTTGACCGAACCAATGTTTATTTGCTTCCACATCAGAGAGGCCATGAAGTATCCGGTCATGGAGAATATTTGGGTTATTCACCTGACGTTTTTTATATCATACGCTGCGTCGCTGTTAAGCCTGGCAGCGCTAACTCTGGACAGATATCTCACAGTGATGTCACACCACAGAAGGCTGTTATCCACCACTCAAATCACCCTGATATCTGTGCTGATATGGGTGATATCTTTTTCGCTGCCATGTTTGTATTTCGTCACCGGATTCTACCTGTTTGCGTTCATGTTTACAAACGCTTCTCTCATCATAATAATCAGCATATTAACATTTTCATATATCCGTATTCATCAGAGACTGAAGGATCAGATCTCTCGCTGGCATTGGTTCAAACAAACACAGATCAAACTGACTGCGATGTCGTTAGAGAAAAAACTAACGAGAGCCTTTTACATCATTCTCGGTATATTCCTCATGTGTCTACTGCCATCATTTGTAATGATTTACATCATCATCTTCTGTGATGAATGTGACTGCACGCTCGTTCATTGGATGAGAGACTTGCAATTCATATTCCTGCTGCTGAACTGTTCGTTAAATCAGTTCTTATACGCCTGGAGAGCACGGAACTTCCGCAAAGCCATCTCTGCCGTGTTTTGCAAAACAGTTTCATACCAGGTGAACGCTGAGCTTGCCGGTAACAACAATGGCATAATTGCCGCTGATTCTAATTCAGCTGATGTAATAGAACTGATTCCTCTGGACCCCACGAAACTTTCCTCGATGCCTATAGAAGAAATGGGTCAGACAAACCAATTCTCCTTTCAGTCTTCAGAAAAAAGAAATTAAAGACAAAGCGAAGTAGGCAAGGCTATCTTAGAAGGTAACTGATTGCAAGTTTATGATGGAGTGCTGAAGAAATAGAGTACATCTTCCTTCGTTGGTATAGCAACCTTTTAGGCCTATCCAGAATATTTTCTCTGGCGCGCGACTGGTTTAAACGCAGAAAAAGAGACAATTCTTTTTTTCTTTTCATGGAGTCGCTCTAAGAAGTGACGGTGAACTGTTCGTAATAGTTTCGTACCGCGCGCTGGGAAAAAAAAATCGAAGGATAATAAGAACCCGCAACTTCTATTTGGCTTCAAAATATGCTCGTATTTTTGTCCCTGGACATTGTCTTTCCTTGAAGCTTTTCCTTGAAAAAACGGTCCGCCTCTCAGAGAAGGCAATGTCTGCGGGCTGATACCTGAGCATGCTTTTACGCCAAATGAAGCTATCGCGTAGTAACTGTCTCATCGTTGCTAGTTCAACAATTCGACCCATCATAGTGATCAAATATTGACCTTCATAACAAGATGTCTGGTGACGAAAATAAACATTGCACACAATTCCATAGTTCCATCTGCACCTTTGTGTCTCTGTAAACATGGCTGTTTCATGAGTTTTGCATCACAATGAAATTAACGTTTGGGTTCATGAGCTTGTAGTAAAATGTTATGTGATAAAATCTCATTTCAGCTGACATTTTTGTCGCTCAAGAGATTGGGGCGAGGAAACACTTGTCAGCTTAGGCTCCTTACAACTGATCAAGATAATGTTGATTGTTGAATCTCGTTTTATTTTAAAATTCTTTAGAATAGTTTCGTAAGGCTTTTCTACGGGTTTTCTGCTTGTGTATGAATCATTTTCCATGATTGCTGACAAACCTTCGGGCTTCAGGGAATATTTCGTGCTGATTTGTGCGCTGCAACTATAATATTTAGTTTATACTTTACCCTATTTTTCGTTTGTGATTCCCCCTTTGAAATAATATTAAAGGAGTGCTACCTGGCGAAATCGGATGAGTATGAATCTAGTGCATCCAACAAATTATTCGTTTCAGCAAGATAGGGAAAAGTCAAAAATTTGAAAAAGAAACCGAGATTGTTTGCGAAAATTGAGGAGAATTTTCGAATAATTTTCAATCGCTTGGTTATCGAGTTCGCATTTGTGGAAATAAGATTTAACGAATCACAGTTACAAAACAAAACTATAATCTCCCTGCATGAGATAAATTTTGATGAAAGCTTAAAATCTATTTCTAGGAGTCTATCTTGTATTTGGCTTAGCCTTTCCATTTAATCTTTTTCTCACTTATAGCGGAATTTCATTTGCAAGGCAAAATGAAACTAACACCCTCTTTTATAGTGTAAACGAGGTTCATTCAATTGGCACAAGGAATGAATAATAAAAATATATAACAGGCAATTTTCGTAGCTCGAAACGTGTGCTTTTAAGATGTTTATTCGTATTAACTGTCAAATATTAATGAGTGAAACTACATGAGTGAATCGCCGTAATTTCTCGGGTTACCCACAAATAGCTCGGCAATATTTACCTTAAACGCAATGAAGCCGATTTGTTACATCGATTTCCCGATATCACAATTCATCACGTACTTATAAAATTTTTCAGGCTTATAACAGCCCACTTATTTCACAACGGGCAACACCACACTTTTTGATGTACTAAAACTTTATGGCGATCGATCCAAAACATTATCATTCGCCAATTTCAGTTCAGGCTGATTTAAATGCAGTCGGAAATTGTTGGAATTAATTCCAATTCAACCGGAAAATGTCAGTTTACTTATTAACAGAATACATAAAAGAAATATTGCCGAGGCGACTTAAAACATCTGCCCCGAGGTATCCTACAGCGCCAAGTGGAATTTTGTCACAATTCAGTCACGTATAAATCGAACATGGAAGGATGACAGGAAAGGAAAAAACTACTCAAGTGAAGCTCAAATACCATAAGAAAATTTGGTTTTAAGGTATGGGTTTATTTCATCACAAAATTAAGTTGGTAAATGTCAACAATGACAGAGGGTTTCTAAATTACTTTCCAACAGAGAGATGTCAATGCTTTCAATAAATATCGTTTCATCTAGTTTCACCTTTTAATTTCTTTTCTTTTTTTTGAGAAATCACAATTGCCACTGTCGTGAACCAACCAATAAAAGGAACTTCATTTGCAGTAACAGATTGAATGGGTAAGAAGATTTAATAAAGAAACTCATTCTTACATTTCCAACGAGTGTCAAGTTCCATACTCACAGGTGAGAGAAGACGCTCTCGTATGGATTTTGATGATACATTTCTTGTTATTTTGCGATGAACTTTGGTACTAATCTCTGCGATGATGAATGGGCCCCGTTTGCAACGTCAGTCACTACAGCTTGCGTGTCGGCCATATTATGTGTAATCACGGCTCCAGGTAACTTGCTTATCTGTTGGGCGATCATCAAGGATCCGAACAACGAGCTGAAATCTTCGTTCAATTATCTGATTCTGAACCTGGCCATTGCGGATTCTTTTATTGGAGTTGTGACAGAGCCTGTATTTGTTTGGTATCACACCTCTGAAGCAATGAAATACGAAGTTCTTGGCCTTCGTTGGTTGGTTTATATGTCATATTTTATGACTTCTACCGCCTCAGTGTTAAGCATAGCTGCGTTAGCAACAGATCGTTACCTCGCCTTGACTTCTACTACCATTAGGAAACTGTCCTCTTCGAGCGCTATTACAGTTTCCATCGCAATATGGATTTTCTCATGCGGTTTACCTTTTCTTTATTTCGAGACTGGGTTTTATACGCTGGCGTTCGTTTTTGCCAATACCACAATAATTCTAACTCTGATTCTTTTAGTTTTTTATTTTGCACGTATTGTAAAGAGTCTAAACGCTCACGAGAAAAAAATGCGATCGGTTCTTGGAATGGAGGCGCGCCGTCAAGGGTTCCACAGAGAAAAGAAAGCAACAAGAAGTTTCCTTTTTATTTTGGTTGGTTTTTTTGTATGCAGCTTTCCGTCTTGTGTCATGATATACGTCATTAATTTATGCAGCACGTGCAGCTGTGACGTTATACACTGGTTTAGAGACCTACAGTACTTGTCAGTTCTTATCAACTCCTCGTGTAACCAGTTTTTGTATGCGTGGAGGATGAAAGGTTTCCGCCGAGCTTTTAGAAGAATTCATCCCCTCTTCGTTTGTTGGGAAGAACAAGAGAGAAGATCGACCGTGTCACAACTACCTTCCAATGCCACCTGATCGCAGTCGCACGAACAAATGAAAAAGTGAGCGTTGCTGAAAGCTACTTTTGTGCTAACCAGCCGGTTTCGTTGACTCGTAACCATTATTCTATATACAACTTATGTAACTTTCATAAAATTGCTTAATGCTTATGGGAGATCAAAAAAGGGCTCACCTTCACTCCCACGCCCCTCCCCCCACTCCCCCCTTTCAAGAAAATCGTCCCAAATTCTGATTTAGTCGTGATGGCTCGTCAGGCTACCGGATTTTTGGAGCTCGCGCCATTTTTTAGTCATATGATACAAACCAGATACGTTCTCTGAATCCCTAAGAGAGTATTTCTGTGCTAAGAGTTCTAGTTTAACTGAGCCATTTTTGGATTGAGTTTACTACTCGCAAAAGAGACAATGAAACATTTAAACTGTAAATGAAAAACATATACTAAAAGTTTGACTGGTGAACTACTTCCACTAGTAGAGGTGCGATCAGTAAAGTGTTTTAGTCGTTAGTCCTTTGTAGTTTCTGCTACGTCTGACTGTTGGTTGGCCTGTCTTCTAAACCTGATCCTCCTGTTTTGGAACCAAACTTTGACGTGAGTCTCTGTCAGCTGAAGCGCAGTAGCAAGATTACGGCGTTCTTCTCCTGCCACGTACTGCTGCCTAGAGAAAGTGTTCTCCAATCGCTCCAGCTGCGCAGGCGTGAAAATCGTTCGGGATCTCTTGTTGGGTTTTCGCTTATCTTTCTTGTCATCACCTCGTTTGATGGTTGATTCTACAAGACAGCAACTGTTTGGTCAAGTTTCAATCACAATAACTGCGGCTTCGCTTGATTATTTTCGTTTTCTGCCCATTGAAACTTAGGCTACTTTTTCTGCAATGAAGTTATTTAGACCTTTATCGCAGTGCTTCCGTTGTCGAGAGTAAATGTCTAGGCAAATAAAACTAAGTTTGCTTTTTTTCTTCAGTTACCCGTGAGACATAATGATACGACTGAAGAATTCGGTTAAAGTAAATATGGAAAATTTCCAAGAAGTTTGGGTAAAATAGAAATTGAAAAAACAACAAACTTTTCTACCCCAAAAACACACCACCCTTAATTTCCTTCAATAACTAAGTAGGCAAGAGGAAGAATAGCAAAAGGTGTAAATAGGTATAAAAAGAGTGTAGATAGAAACTGAAGAATCTGGTCACACCTACCCATGTCTGATTGCCAATTGACAGCGCATGCTCCGTTATGACAGCAATGATAGTGAGGAAATTGAGCCGAATAATCAAAGGGGCCAGAATCCCCCGCGAGCAGCAACTGGCGATAAGAAATGGAAGAAGGAAGTGACTGCATTGATGGAGAGGTGGGCGAAGAAGACAAAATGGCGCGGATGGAAAACGAGCTGGAGAACTGGCAACTTCTTTCCTGATCGTTGAAGTGGAAGTAATCGGCAGCGGGGGCTTGTGTTGAAGAAGGATTCGAAATAGCCGAAGTTGAATTCAATGCCGCTGGAAAAGAGGAGAGCATCTTTGCCGTACTTTTTAATGTTTTGAGGACGGGATACGAAATGAAAATGAATTACTTTCCACTGCATTGGCCTTTAATTGCTTTCTAGACGACATTTGTTGCCTCTCATAGGAAAATGATATATACTATCACGCCATGGTTTCAGCGGAACAAGTATTAACTTTTAAAAGCAAGGAAGGATTTCGTAAATAACGTGACTTTCCCATACGCTTTATTTCACGTAATATAAAATTGCTTCATGGAGGATCTATTGTTAAGTGTACGAACAGCTGTAAACATCTCAGGACTTTTGTAACCGATTAGTTGTTCAAATGGTGAATATTATTACCTATCCTGCCAGGTAGGTAATTAGAACGGAATATGGACAATAATAGCCTAAAATTACCGATAATAGACGCTCTCTTAAACGCCCTTAGTTAGTGGGGCTCTGTTGGTCTCAATAAGCTTTATATTATGAAACCGACTCTGTCACTAAGGTTTTGCTACTGCGAAACAAATAGTGTTGAAGAACGGGTTTATAAATTGTGAGTATTCGAACCTACGTGCTTGTTTATCAGTTATTTGGTGTCTCTTCATATGAGATTACGCGAGTTGCACGAAAGCAATTGATTGAATAACAATTTGCATTCTGTCGAAACTTAAGCTTCTTTTGTCGTTACGACGACGGCAGGGGGCTTATACAGGTCACATTCAAGTGCTTTCTCTGCCTGTCATTTAGATTTATAATGTTGAAGTTACCAAAGATGCATAATTTTTTTTGTTTGTTTTCGTTGTTTTATGTTTGGGTTTTTAGTGGTGAACTGACTTAAACCAAAGTTATCTCTTCTATCATAATTTTTCATTTGATCGCGCAAACTATGAGTATTATGATGCCAGATGCGGTGATTCCTTTTATATCTCAACCCCCTCATGAGGTTTTTGAAATAAATTTTGAATTGATTACTCGGCTACTTTAGTGACCGCAGGCGTCAATTCGAAAATAACTGACTTGTGCTTTTTTACATAAGTGGGCCGTTATTGGAGGTGTCTTATCGATCGATCAAAAGAAAGGTGTTTCTTGCCCAAACATGAAATATTAAGACTTGTTAAAGGAGATATCGACGAAATGGAAAGTTCAAAAGTCGTTATTGGTTTGTATTGATATCGTGATATGTAACAGCAATCCGGTCGTTGTTGGTTTTTCCCTTTTTCATAACCTTTTTGTTTCTTCAGTTAAAGTATCTCATTTCATCTCATTAAAATGCTACCTTTTTTTCGGTAGATAGTTAATTTTTATGACATTGTCTTATCTTGAGATATCTTTTGCTAGCTTTTCACATCTGTTCTAAAATAATCGAGTGTTGTCTGGACTTATATAAAAACTTCTAGTCCCCAACAAGTATTGGCTGTAACTTAGAAGCTTCAGGGTTTCCCACCAAAGCTTCCCGCAAAAGCTAGAGTAACGTACTTATGATAAATGCAAGCCTTGAGATCTTGAAAATAATATCAAAGAATTCTCTTTCGTGTTATTTCTCTCCTCACACGATAAACCTGTGTATTTATTCATGAAGAATTCTTTAGATCGTATGCTGGAATCTACAATTTGATACAACAATTCCCGGTAGATTAAATGTCGCGCAAAATAGTAAATGATACTGAATTCATCACAGGCATTACATGAGATATCTTTAACTTTTGAAAGTCTTTGAGTAAACGCACCCTTCTCCACCCTTTCCCAGCCCGTTTACGGCGAACGTCGGGTGACAAAGCTGTGTGGATATAATGCACGATATGCACTGCCATCGCAGCTTCAAACGAGGCTTTTTTCATTCTAATCCCCAATTGCTTTGCTTAGAAAATGTAGGGGTTGTTCTATTACTGGTGCATTTTATCTTGCTCACATCAACGCACGATCTATTAGAGCATAACCACTCAAAGACGGCTGACATTGCAGACTTTATCCGTTGAAGCAAAACATCAAGATGTTTACCAGTCGCTGTTACTGACTCCTTTCGAGCGTTAGCCCTTCGTCGTTCGTTCTGACGAAGGGCTAACGCACGAAACGTCAGCTTTTAAACTCTTTACAGAGGCTGACTTACGTTATCAACTCATTTGATATTACCCTGTAGCACTACTGACTACCAGTGTTCTCGGTTCGCGATTGTGTCGTGTCAGTCCTCAAGGACAGCTCATTACACTCAACACGCCTTTCCTTGAATCTCAAAAGCACTTTAAAAGCTCTTTTGAAAGTGGGCATGCGCCATGCATACAAGAACTGGTTAGCTGAACAGTTAACAAGGGCCATTAGAAACTGAAAGTCGCGTAACCAATGAATGACGTCACAACTGCACACGTCGCAAAGTAGAATGATGTAGATGATGACACAAGAAGATACATTACAGCAAACGAACACGAAGAGGACTAACAGGAATGATCTTGTGGCTTTCTTCTCATATTTGACTCTCTGTTCCATCATTCGATCACTGCGGGTGGCTTCGACATTATCAACATGGACGTGAAGACTTTGGTAGATTCTAATGTATGCAAAAATGATAATCAGCAAAGTGGCCACTACAGTTGTGTTAGCAAACACAAAGACAAAAGTGTAAAAACCTGTTGCGAAATAGATGAATGAAACAGAAACAGAGAAAATCCAGATGCCGATGGAGATTGCTACTGTTCTTGATCGAGAACAACTTCGCCTATAGGTGGAAGTAACTGTGAGGTAACGCTCAGTGGCCAGAGCTGCTATGCTAAGCATAGAGGCAGTGCAACTGATGAAGTAGGCTACATGAACGACCTCTACGCGGCTCATTACGTCGTATTTTAAAGCTTCTCTGACATGAAACACGACAAATACTGGTTCTGTACATATACCAGTGATCAGATCGGCCAAAGCAAGATTGAGAACCAGGTAGTTGAATGCGGATCGGAGTTCTTTGTTCGGATCTTTGACAATCGCCAGGCAAATCAGAACATTTCCTGGTACAGTTATAACACACAGGATGGTTGATATAGTTGCAGTTGTCACAGACAACTCAAATGGCGCCCTCTTATCTTCGCAAAGATTGCTTCCAAACAACATGATGCTTCTTTGGATTTGTATCTGTCTTAGACAGACTATCAATATCTGCCGACCAAAATGGCAATGATTATACCAATATGATACAAACTAAGTTGTTCTCACAAACAGTGCGCAGACGTTCATGACATTTCTACGTCAGGTGTCGGTGACGAGAAGAATGGAAGCTTCCAGAGCCGAGAATTTTCTGCAAATTTTTAGGCACCTTGGGTTAACAAAGTCTGGTTGTGCATATTCACTGAATAAGCCTTTGAACTGAATTTACATGAATTTTCATGTCGAGGAAAATGTCACAATAAAGCAAACATTTGACAAAGGCTTAAAAACAAACAATATTCCTCCCGCCGATAGAAGTAATAAAAACTAGAATTATTATTGAATTTTGAAGGAATAACCCCATGGCTTCAGAATAGCTAATTTTTAATTCCTTTTTTTCTAAGAGGGAGGGCGAAATTTGAAGGTTTAGAATTGAATTAAAAGATATTTTACAAAATCAAACTAAAAAATTTACTTGCTAGATTTGAAAAAATAATTTCTGTCACTTCTAGGTGGCATGTGACCTTAGAATCATATTTACATTTCGGAACCAAAGGGAAATTGGACGGCTACGGGTGAATTTAAATGTGTTTCATTAAATTGTCAACAATATACGAATTCTAACTTTGAACCAAAGAGTTATTTGCAAAAATAGATTCTCAGTGTATTGTGAACGATTTGACTGTTGCCATAACAAATATTTCTGGCAGCGTTGATTGTATTTCATTAGGCACTAATGAATTTGATTACTGGAGAGTGAAAATGTCGATCGAGCTGAGACGATAATAAATTTTTTTTTGTTCTGTGTCTGACCTGCGATCAAATTGTTTGAAGTTTAAATATGGACTTTATCTCATTTGAATAGCTGAAGTTCGAACTAGTTACGAATATCAAGCCTTTTACAATCCAAAGAAACCGAAAAACGATTTCCTTTTTAAAAGCCAGTAAACACAATTTTTCAATCAGGATTTGCTATGGTGGCGATACTGGGGACATGTCTTGTTTAATGATATGCACTTTAGAATAGCTACTCGCCTTACACCAAGAAGACCCCTAAGAAGCTCTAATTTGCAATTCTTAACACCGCCAAAGTGTATTTCCTAGGTGCCAAAGGAGTTTTGGATCAATATCAGTATCTGGGCAACTGCCCATCTACCCCTCCCCTAACCCGATAACAAGTTAGGGTTAATGTTGGGTTAGGGGAGGGGTAGGTGGGCAGTTGCCCAGATACTGATATTGATCCAGAGCTTCTATACTCAAACTATTATCCGGCCCAAAGTTCAGAGAATATTTCAAAATCATTCTACGTGCGATCATTAGTCTCCCTTATTTTTCGTCTTTATTACATTGACATATCGTTCTTTTATTCTATAAACTCTAGTTTTTATAGGTGCGTAACTGTACCATATTCTTAATTTGAAATTTTAACATCCCTGTTATGCTACTGGCTTCATCAACATTATCTCATTGATCAGTCTCCTTATTTCCTCTTGCAATTTTGTCCATCCTGTAACATTCCTTTCGTGACCGGATTTTTTGGCTGAATACGGTATGCTGAAACAAGTACACGTACGCTCTGCGGAAATTCCGCATCCTCATTGAGTAAAGTAACTGATTCGTGGCTGCAATAATCATGGGCAGGAGGAAATAAACGTCACGCAATGTGTTCGTGATGTCACAGGAGCACGTGGTGCAGAAACTGATGATGTTTGCAGCAATGCATGATGGGAACACCGTGGAACAGAAAACAGTCAAAATCGTCATAAAAGATCTGGTGACCTTCCTCTCTCTCGCTAAGGCTCTCCGCTTGAAGTCGCTGTGTTTTATTGTATCCCAGTTTTTTACATGGCTCTGCATTGTTTTTGAAGTAGACTTGTGCGAGGCAAGTAAAATAGCGAACACTACTATGGCTGACGTGTTACTAAATACAAATATAAATAAATATGCTTCTATCAAAAGATAAATAAGCGGGAGAATCAACGACAGGCACCATATTAGGGCAGAAGTTAGATATCCATGCATTGGCTTGAGCCTTCTACATGAGGTTGACGTAACTGTGCGGCAGCGGTCCACAGCCAACGCCGACAAGCTCAGAAGCGAGGCTGTAAGTGACATGAAATACGTCAAGTGAAATACCCAGATCCAGCTCAACTTTTTTCCCTCAATGGCCTCCCGGGAGTGATAGATGATGAAGCTAGGTAAGGTTACAAATCCGATAACCAAATCAGCAACAGCTAAGTTAATTATAAAATAATTAAATGGCGTCCGCAAGTCTTTGAAAGGATCCTTAATGATAGCAATGCATGTTAGCATGTTCACTGGTACAGTAAGGACGCATAGTAAGCTGCTAATGACAACAGTTGTCCATGAGACGAAACGCGGAATGTCATCCTCTGCGCAATTGTCTGAAAATGCCATCTTTGTATGTCAAGTCGTGGGTGTAACAATTGAGAAACCTTTCTTCAAATACATGCGAGCAATTGTGAATCTTTCTTTCATTTACCGTTTTTCCGGCCAACGACGAGTAGAACACATCCAGTTTTTCCTCTATACTCACTTTTTCTCCTCAACTAATCAATTGTCATTGTCTTTGAACTGTCTTTCTTTTGAAGGTTCCTCATCAGGCTCCATGCACAACTTAGCCCATCTTCTGAAACAAAAGATTTATTGTCTTTAACAGTTCTTCAGACTCGTTGAAACGTTCAACAAACTGCTAACGTAGCGCGTTCTACCTCGCCAATGTACTAAGAATCCTATCAGGAAAGGAGTTCCTTTTCGAGATCTATCGCCGTTTATTCCTCTATTCGAAGAACACTGTCATAACAAGAAACTGCTAAGTTTGCAAACGGCTCATTTCATGTCGTGTGTAACTTTATATCTCGCAGTAAGTGGAAAAGAGGCTTGAAAATAATCCGTTGCGGAAATCGAGAATTTAAAATAAACAAAAGTGGAAATGTCCCAATTTCCTACCCTTTCGGGAAATTAGTTAAAAGCTTAGATATATTTCCAGAAGCGTTACTATTTACTTATTCTTGACAGAACGCCTGTCAAAGGCAGCGACAATTTTATCGCACAATGCTTTGACGCCAACAGACAATTTTCCATGTTATTTTAGGTTGAAATCCAATAAAGAGTTTTACTTAATTGATTGTATATGAAGGTATCTAAAAATAGCTCATCAGAATTATGATTTAAAGAATCAGACTTTTAATATCCGGCCCACTCTAAAGATCTTCCTCTCTGAAGATCACGTGACAATGCTTGCGTTTCCCTCATGATGTCCTATTAATTAACCCTTTAACTCCCATGAGTGACCAAGATAGAATTTCTCCTCGCAATATCAGTACAATATCAAGCAGACAAGTTATGAGAATAAAGAAAAAATTTTAATAAGGGGGATTATTAGTTGATCCAATACCAAATTCTCCAAACTTACATCACAAGAGGTATATGGCAGACAGTAAGGAGAATTACTAATGAGATCTTGGGTGTTGAAGAGTTAAATGTGCACGACTAAAGTCATCCCTGATTCAATCAACCCTCTTGTTCCCATAGTCGTCCTAACTTCTTTCTTTTATATGTGGTCGGTAAAACAAGGGACTTAAAGCAAAAACCAAGAGATCTGGGACAGCAATCCTTCGAAAGTCGTCGCAAAATCGATCTTTGATACTTAACGGGAAAAACTCTCATTAGTGCTAACGATTTGGGAAAAATTGATAACGTGCATGAAGCTGCATGATTCCTGCACCCAAACATAAATTAAATTGCATAACCTCGGTTTCTCCTTTCAGTTACTTTGGACTCCATTCTTAATAGCAAACTAAAGCTCTTTTTCACTGAACTCCTCTAAGTTGAAGCCATCGTGCATAAGTATATTTGTGTAGAGGTTCGATTTACATCCAACACCCAACTTCCAATTGGCCAATTTGTTTTGGTTACTTATTTCAAATGCGATCCAGATAGCAAGCGGTTAATTGACATATTTTATGCATTTAACTCCTTTCGAATCCAGAAATATCGATGGACAGGTTCTGTCGTTAAATGTAGTGTTTATATGCGGTGTTTACAAAACTCCTTTGAGAACAAGCACTCTATGGCGTGAAAAGTAATTAGTTTACACCTTCACCTGTTTATTCAGCTTGAGTCTCGTGTTATTTTTCCGACAGTTTTTCCCAAAAGTTCTCAAATAAGCCGCCCCCCCCCCGCAATGCAGAATGCAGAATGAGAAAACAAAATCTGTGCGTAGTATAGCACGTTTCGTTCCAAATTATTGCAGCAGATTTGAAGACAAGCGATTTATTCAAGTTTATTCCCAACGCAAGCTTAGACTAATAATCATACCTATCAGGAAGTAACGACAGCGCGAATCTCTCTTTCTACATGTTTTATGTTGACGATTATATTTAGAGTTTTACCAATCGGATCGGAAAACAATGCTGAAGTTGTTCTCTACCAATCACTTAATTTCCACAGCTAGACACGTGACGACAATTTTAAATTGAATGACAGCTTGGAGTTCATTTTTCTTTTTGTCAGGGATGGGATAGAAAGACCACTTGCTGGGGATATGGCTAAAGGGACGATCCCATGGAACCTTGGGAAGAGTACGTCACAGTATTTTCACCCTTTAACAAAGTGATCGTAAAGGAAAAATTTACACATTGGACTTTTTGGATATTACTCACGAAGGGGGTGGGAAGCGTTTCATTTGTTTCCAACCTATCTGGGTCCTGTCATACGATTCTAGAAGACCAACTCCACCTTATGAGTCCTGCAGTTAGCGGGAAATTAGAAATTATGTGAGGATAAAGCTAATACCTTTAAGAACGCCCATTATGACCAACATACCTGAACCAATCTTCACGCCCTTGGATTTAGTGAGCCCAGCAGTTAGCGGGAAACTAGAGATTAAGTGAGGATAAGGCTGATACCTTTACTTACGCCCACCACTGACGACTAAGACACCTTAAGCAACCTTCACACTCTTGGATTTAGGAAGCGAGCAATTTCATCAAATTATAAAATCCTGGGCTATTAACAAAGCATATTATTTCAAGTTTAGATTGATCCCTCATTTAATGAAATGGTAAAAGTATTTCTGTTCTCTGTTATTCTCACAAAACCTCACAATTTTACCCGAACCCGTTTTAGCTGTTCCCGCCAGTTATAAAATTGTTTCTGGCGAGGCGTCTTCATGCAGTTTCAATTTTGAAAGCGATATCAGTGCCGTTTTTTGTTTGTTTTATTATTTCCATTAAAGCTTTTTCCTCGTTTTTTTCTCGAGCCCGTCGTTAACGTCATGCTCCTTGAATTGCCAATATTGACAGCGGAAAGAATTTAAAAATACATGATTCCCTCTACCTGTTTTCTGGTTGAGTTTTAGTGGGCTACGAGTAAAATATTAGGCGAAATAATGTAATCGTAGGAGGGTACGAAGCTTTTTATACAAAAGACTTGGTTTTGGTGCGAATTCGAACTTGTTTTTCAGCAGAGAAACTGAGGCTTAAGTATCTTATTTTTAACAAAGAAAACCACTTTAACCGCCAGAGTTTGACAGATGAGTTGTTTATTCAGGAATACACTGTTTTTGTTTGATAAAAAGTTGTATAGGAGACCTTGACACCTGGATTTTGGTGTAATTTATATTTCATTTTTGCGGTATAAACAATTAAAGCCTGTCTTAAAGCTTCGCTTTATTGCTCAGTGGAGCTGATTATCAAGCTGAGAAACCGGAAACCCCCATGTTCGCGTGACAAAGACCACCAACGACGCGAACTAAGAAGCTCTCAGACTTTGGGAGATTGAATGTATGTATGCTTATGTTTTTAGGAGTAAAGTTTCCTCTTTAGGTTTTTTATTGCATTGCAATGGTTAAGTGTATTGGCACCGAGAGATTTACTTCACCAACTCGTCTTGAAATTAATTCAAGCACAATTATTTCATCTAGCACGAGATGACAGTCGCAGAAGGACCTAAAGATGTTTGTATTTAAAAACTGGCTCGGTATAGATTTCTTAATTTAAAACAGAGAAATATACATATTTGTATGAGTCTAAGCTTAATCCTTGCATGTTATGGTCGATTTATTAAAAGCCAAGGTAGAAAATTCAGTTTATTTTTGTATTTCGTACTCCGCTGTCAGAAGCATCGCAATCAGCTGCTTCACATTGGCCTGGTTACAAAGGTTTATAATAAACATGGCGGATGGCGGGAGTTCAGAAAGGTTTGAATGCAGGTGGCTTTGTCTAGCCGTCGATTCCCCACGGAATGTAGATTAAGATGTGGAAGTGGTGGTATACAGCAGCAACTTCCTCTATAGCTGGGCTTTTATGTTATTGGAATTCTTTGTCGGCAGATTTCGTGTACGATGACAGGTAAGTGCGTGTAAGACTAATTTGTGATTAATCTGGAACGATTTTGAGGTGACTGGTGGAATTTTGAGGTTCACAGAATTCAATTGCTTTTTATTAAAGCATTAACATTTAAGTGACCGACAATACTGCCGATCGAATCTTTACAATTTCTAGGCAAATGATACCGATTCTTTTGGGTCTTTTTATCACCCTTTGAAGAATGTTTCGTGCCATAAAAATTCAGAATTTGCATTATCTGCATCTCTTTGATCGTTTGCGGGTGCTTCGGTTTATTTTTAACTCTCGCGGACGACCTAAGGATCAAGTAGTTGAGCTTAAATCCAAACTCCTGATTTAACAAATAACCACGAATTTAGAAAAATTCATTGGGTTTTTCTTCGCGATGAAACACTCTTCTGATCGATTTCGGTAAATTTAGCAGGGAAACATCTAAAACTGGCGAACCTCCAGAGTTTTTGACAGCCACCTGCATTACTTACGTTTATTGTTTTTCTCCTGTTTACAGTGGTGAATTTTTTTAACAAAGGCAATCGATAAAACGATTGTATGCAATATTTCAGCAAACTTCAGTGTACAAAAACTCAAATCTCCAACGATCGGAAAAACATTATCCTAGAGAAAGCCATTAACATCTTGATAACTTGAAATTCGAGGTTTTCAAACGTCGTTTGGCATTCTTTTGGCTATGAAATATTCTCAGTTGGAGCTTCTCATATCTTATTCATAAATTTTCATTGTCATCGTTGGTTGGAAACTCTGAACCTTTTAAAATCTTTAATTGCGAAAACCATTTCAGTTATTATTGCTTTTACTGTATCCGCTCGTTTTGGCTTTCACTTTGACCTACTAGTAAATATGACCATGCTGAACAAGAGAATTTTAAACCAATATATGTAGTTAATATATTTTCGTTTTAAAAATCTCTTACAAGGAATTCACTAAGCCAAGACTTCTCAATCATTTATAAAGCAACACCAAAAGCAATGAAAACACTTCTTCAAAGACAGACCCCTCAAAATTTCCACCTAAATAGGTTTTTTTTTT